TGCTTGGGTGAACCAGGTAGAATAGGTACTTGTGTTGATGTTTTATTTGAAAGAAGCTTTCTGATTCAACTGCTGATGGTTTAAAGAGTTTTAACTGAATGCTAAAGCTCACTACACAACATTGTAACTTCAGCTACCTCATGCTGTACACGTTATAGAGGCTAACTCCTGAGCTAACCCTTTGTTTGTTTCAGCTGGACCCTGTCCAGACCAGAACCCCTGGGGCCAGCGAAGCTAATGCATTTCCATTTCGGCCTCATCATAGTTTAATGCATTCCTGAGTCATTATTAATTCTTCACCATAAACTGAATGTAACTTCACTGTTTTGACTGCAGTGAAACATCTCTGCGTCAGGTTTTATTCACATTTTATCTGCTGCTATTTTTAAAGGACACTTTCAATGCCTTAAGCCTTAAACGTTGAACATCCCTCAGACTTTGAACGGACCTTTAAACCCCTCTTCCCCTTTTATTTATGTATTTTTTCTTATTTTCAGTAGTGTTTAGTCTTTGCATAGTTATTAGATATAATACTGTGTGATTGTAGCTACTAAAGATACCATTGTAATTTAACCCTTGGTCTTTGTGTTTATTTTACACAGAGAAAGATTTATCGCTCAGGTTGGATTCACTCTTCTTTCAGTAGCATCCGAATGAACAGAGACACTTTTATTTTATTAATAACGTTGCTAAGAGTCATAGCCTAAATTACTAAAGTTATGATAGACAACTCGATTTTTAACAGATGGATTCAGGAGTCCCAGCCTTTTAGGTAAGAGGCTAAAAACCCTGGTCACTAAGCAAATGACAGAATCATTCAACTGATAATAATTCATTAGTTCTACCCTTGACTTGAATGACCTATTAATTAACTATAACTTCCAGTTCTAGTTATTTAATATATTCATAATCTCTTAGTAAACTCTAACAACAGGACCTTCTTCCATATCTGCCATGATTCCTACAAGACTTTTAGTAAACTGCAAACAGGACTTCCTTTTTCATGACAGCACATCTCTTCCATTGAGGACAGATTTATAGATCTTATAGCTTGTCCTGTTTATAGATTCTCACACCTGAGGATCTTCTCCAGAGTTATCTGCAGAGTTGGCTGATTAGAGCTCTGAGATGTTGATAAGTTTTGGATAATTTTTTTAGAACCTGTTGAACTTCTCCAAAACTTATTGTTCGGTTCAAACTTTCTTACATTTGCAAACAGATTTGAAAAGGTGTATATCCTTCCACTCAAGTTTTATAGGTCACTTTTTTAATTGGTTTGTTGGTGTAATAATACAAAGTTTAGTACATCTTAAGGGGTTTGGATTTTTTTTTACATGCACTCTTAGCTGCTCATTTACAGTCGCATGTCTGCTTTTTTCTGCTGATTTGTAGAAACGAGCTGTGGTGGTCCGGGGCCCATCAGACGTAAAAAACAAAGAGCTGATCTTCATGCAGTTCAGTCAGAATGAAACACAAGAGGACTTCAGCGCCATTTCTTACATGCTTTTTGCTAAGTTTAGTGACTTGATTGAAAGGTAAGCCCAAAGTATTGATCCTGTTTTGTTTGCCATGTGAGATAACTGCCGTGGGCAATCAAGTCTTTGCTGCTGCTGTTTATGTGTACCTTTGATGTATGTCCTTGCCTAAATAAAACCCTTTTATGTGCCCATCTGTAAACTTAATCTTTAACGAAGTTGTCTGAGAGAAAATACCAATCTGTTTTAATTCTTGTGTATTCCGTCACCCCAAAGTGAACCTTTGGCTAGAAATACTCACAGTCTGTTAGACAAACTGTCTGCAGTTCATTATGATATGGTTAATAGGAACAGGCAGAGATCATGTGAGCTCTAAACAAATTTCAAATTTCTATGTTGTTGGGGAGTTCTAACATCACATCTAAAACAGACCAGACAAATCACAGTTTAGGTGGTGGGCCAATAATGCAACAACACTTATTAGTAACTATAACAATCCAGATTGCAGTCGCAACGGAGCAATGTTTGGGTAAAGTTGGGTAAAGTTTCTATAACTGGATGCTCAAAGAGTTTTTCTTTAAAAAAAAAAAAAGAAGGAAAAAGAAGATCCTTTTGCGTGACATCCATAGTTATGTGATTGGTTAGAAATTGTTTCATCTGACTCTGTTAGTCCTGCCTTTGAAATCCGGCTGTACCTGCTTCTTTCTAGAATAATATGCCATGTCCACGACATAAATCAATCTGGCTGGGAAAAGTGGGAGTGTGATGCACTGGAATTAAACCTTTTTTATTCAGACTCTTTGGTAGAATGAAAGGGAGGCATAAAGAGAACAAACAAGCATGCAAACAAAAATTAACTGGTTTTGTGGTAATTAACCTTGAAATCACGTGATAGGCTGAGAATAGCAACATAAGAAGGAGGAAATAAGAGCATCTGTACAATATTTTTTAGATAATAAAAATCTCTTAGGCCTTGCTTGCAGATGTGTTAGAAAAGGAAAAAAATGCATGAAGAAACAGCAGTTCTACTAAAGCAAAGCACTAAAGTCTGGCTAAGTAAGGATAAAGAGGCAGCCAAGAATCCCACGGCATTTTAGAGGAGCTATAGAAATCCACAGCTCAGGTGTTAGAACTATTAGTTATATAGTAACAGGTTTGGCCTTTAATGAAGAGCAATTTGAAAAAAATAGTTTTATGTGGAGAAAACAGCTGAGATGTTAAAGAATAAACTGTGCAAAGATGAGACCAAGATAGATTTTCTGTTCACCTACATTCAGAACTCTACGTGAGGCTGAAAACTAACACTTCACAATACCCTGAATGCACCATGTGTACACTGTAGCACGGTAGCAGCATCATACTGCTGGGAGGCTTTTCTTTAGTAGAAACATAAAATCTTTTATTATACAAAGAAATAACATTTGTAGTGAATTCTGTTTTGTTTAAAATTTTTGCCATTTTAATAAACACTTTTTTTTTATCCATTAAGATAAAGGACACAGGTAAGGAGGCGCCAAACCTCACTGGAAAGTTGACGTCCAGTGAATTGCCTTACCTTGATCTTCTACCTGGCTTGTAAAAGTACTACGTTTTTCAAATTTCTGACCTACATTGGTCTATATCCTGAGATCTCAGCAAATTATAATAAAGTTTTTGGTTGCAAAGAAATTAGAAAATGTTTTAGGAGGTATGAATACTTCTTTCAATGCCTGAATTTTGTCTAGCCTAATCCAGCAGCTCATGTCACCTCTCTTTTCTGTTCTTCAAGCGCAAACAAATCTGAGTTTATGAGGGACTGTGAGCGGAATTACTCCATGTGGACCTTCTCTGGAGGATTCAGAACCTGGGTCAAAATGTCTTTAGTGAAAACATCTGGAAGAAACAATGAAGCAGTCGAGTTTCGGCAAGAGGTAATCCAAAACTCATTTAATCTTACATTTATGAAGACGTTTTTTTCTTAAAGGCTTTGCTTAAATGATAAATGTTTATTCTTTTAGTCTGGAGTGGTGAAGTTCAATGACAAAAGGCCAGAACAGGAACAAACAGTTCAGCTCTTCTTTGTTGTCTTTGAATGGAGAGATCCTTACATGCAGGAAATCAGGCTGGTAAGTTTCCCAATGGATGTTAACCTGGTGGGAAAAGTCTCTAATTGTTCAAGTTAACTCTGCTTCTTTCTATACAGATAGTGACTGCAAATCCTTGGAGCTCGGTTGGCATCCTCTGCGCTGTCTTTATGGCTCTCTTTAAAGCTGCCAATTTTGCTAAACTTACTGTGAAGTGGATTATTAAGATGCGTAAGAGGCATCTGAAGAACAAAGCTAGGGAGCTTAATCCTATTAACTGACACACAATGCAGAAAACATCTTCTTACACAAGCTGACAGACCTCCAATAGTGATAAACACCCAACATCCTTGATATTGGGATGTACATGATTGCTTATACATTAGTGAGAGTGATTTACAATAAGCCAGGATGGGATATTTACACAGACACAACTGGCTATTTTTAGGGATTTAGGAATATCAACTGCCAAAGATGTTTGATTTTTTTCAGGAAAGTTAAAGTTTTTTCCAATTGTAAACATTTCTGGAAGCACAATTTTGCACATAAACAATAGTGTTGCTGAGAGAAAAGACACTTTAGAATTTTATTTTATTTTTATATTTTTGTATATCTTTTTTAGTAAAATGTGCAGTTGAATCTGAGAAACTATTGATGCCACAATTCTGTGGTAAACATTTCAATTAAGGGAATATTTTTGCTGATTCTTTCTTTCTGTATTTTTTTTTATCAAATAAAAATTATTCAGAAACATTTCTAAGATTAATTCTAAAGGGATTATTTCAACAACATAGAATGTTGTGTTGCTTTTTAGTATGTTTTTTTTTATTTTTATTTTCAAATTGTATTTAATTTATATTGTGTTGCAACAAATGTAAAAACAATCAATGTTATTATTCTTATCCCAAACTATAAATGTTTTTATTAGGTTCGGTTGTTTTCAAATACATTTGATTTGTGTGGTCAAATATTGTCTATAGTTCTGATATCACACTGAATGATACAATGTATTTTGAATATATAAAAAAAAAGTCTTTTTGTATTAAAATGTATCATGAGGTCAAATACATACTGACATGAATTAAACAACTTAAGTGATGAGATCATTTGTTTTCTGGTGATCTATATTTTCGCGGGGGTTCCGACACTTACGCCCTGCTCATGAACGCATCACAGGAAGTGGTTCACTGGGCGAGGCCTCCAAGGAGGATGTTATTGTTAGCTGCTGTAGTAAACACACTACTGCACACATTTACTATAAGAACTTGGAAAGGTAAACAGAATTCATATTGTACGAAGTTATATTTATTTGCACATTTCAAATAATGGTTAATACTGCGAGTTGGCGGAGCAGTGGGGAGACTGGAGGGCTGGTTAAACGAGCTGTGATCAGTTTGCTAACTTTAGCTCAGATCAGAACTTTCCTTAACTAACTGTTCCACCGAGCGTTTTTCCCATGTTATATTATAGTTCTTTACACAATTTATTATTTTCCTTATCAAAGGTTCTCGCTGGAGTTTATTTAGGACGATTTTCGTTACTCTTTTACATTAGCAAAGCTAAATAGCCATGCTAGCAAAGGGGGACCCCCTCTACACAAACTATTCGATTACATCTGTGATCATGGATAAGATTCAGTCAAATTCTTATTAAACTAGCACAACAAATGTCGCAACAGTGATGCAACCTATCGTGTGGGATTGCTTTAAACAGGTAGGTAAAGTAATAAGCCAACGTACTCCTTTGTTGTTAGTCGTTAGCTGCTTCTTTTCAACTTCAAGTCGTAGTAAGGAGCTGCTAATAAACTCGTAACATGCAATGTATATGTTGTGCTGCATTTGCAGTTATACTTGTGATCTCCTAATGCTTTCTTAACCGAATGCAGAAGAGGCAGAGAGTGAATTTAATTCAGTAAGTTTGTCTCCCTCCTCGAGGCAGAAATCAGTTGCAACTTTCATTGTCTTGAGTTTTATCTGTAGATGGCTGTAGCTGCTGGAAAGGAGGGTCTCATGCTGCAGATTTAAAGAAGACTAAATAAAGTTTGTTGTTGGATTATTCTTTTTTTAATTAGAGGTTTGAATTTGTCATTTGTACTTTTCCTTATCTAAGGTAACCGGTTTGAAGGGCACACTGGCAACAGAGTAGAGGCAGACTCCCTCACCAACATGTTGATTGAAGATGGAGTGTTTGTTAGTGGCATAACAGGAACCTAGATCAACCTAACAGAAAGTGGAGGCTCCTGTTTGGCTTTTTAATCAAAGGTCTTCACTTAAAAATGTACTTTAATTTGGTTTATATGTGAAATAAATTAATTGTGCTTTTTAATCTTACTTTGCTGCCTTGACTGAGGATTAGTTTAATACATTTCACTAGTTTTTTCCAGCTAGGGATTGATATATGTGGTTGTAGTTTACAACGTATTATTGATTGTGGTACTAAGACTTTGATTTTGATGGTGTAACAGCCCATATTAAATGGTACCAGAATGTTATTGAAATAACATGATCTGATTGTACATTAGTTACATTTGGTCCAGTGCTTAGACAACATCATATTTATTATCATTTTAAAGAGACTCTTTTTACTGTATTTGTGGTTTCTATTTTGCCGTATTTGTTTCACCAGCAGTACAAAGTAACATTAAATAAATTAGTTTCCATGACAGGGTTTTCGCGGGTCATTAAAAGTAATTAAATTATTATTTTTTAAATTAAGGCCTTAATTGGCATTAAAATTCATTAAATGTAATTATCGTGGCATTTAAAATACTTTTTTTTTATCAATCAACAATTTCGTCAGATATATCAAGATTTATTTGCGCGAATCTTCTTATGGTTGAACGTAAAGCCGTATGTTCAGAAAAGAAGCTCGAGGTAGAGAAAAAGCTAGAGAATGGGAAAATGTAATTTGGTTTGTATCTTAGGGTTGGGTTTGTTAGGTTTGTTTTGCTTTTGCTTTATTCTGGTTATGTTTTTTGCATTAATCTATTTTTGTTATTTCAGGTGTTCTCTTTTTAGGTTTAATTTCTTTAATATAATTTAATAAATTACATTTTCATTTAATGTGAAAATCCTTGTGCTGTCTCCTTTAATGTTACCCCACCAAATAAGTGTGGTGGACACGATTTTTTTACAAGATTTTTTTTCATTAATGAAAATTTTACAGGATTTTTTTTCTTTCAACTTTGCTTGGATGTTAAATATTACAGTCATAACAGTTCAGGCTTTAGTTTTACAAATCTGATGCTTGGTGTCCCCTTTAACTGGCTTTTAAATGCTAAGTCAGTTTGTAAGCTTTAGACAAGTCCAGGCATGACTCCAATGCGACCACGGCTTTATACATTTGGCAGCAGAGTTGTTCCATCAGCACCCTGGAATAAAAACCAGCATCCCGGCTGATCTCTGCTACCATTTGGACCTCTGGTGATGCATTAAATAGACACTGCGCTGTGCTCTTAACGGTGTGAAGAATTTCAAATATTTTTGCTAAGGTTTCAGTTTTCTGCAGATATCAAAAGCTTTCCAGTAGCTCTATGAAAGCTTGCAGTTCATAACAGAACACTTTAATCATTTCTTTAAAGTCTGATTAACTCTCTCCCCTGACAGTAATGGGCTGAGATCCACCTGCGTAAAAAAATGATGAGGAACAGACAGTGCGTTCTGTGTGAAATCGTCTGCTCCTCCAAGCAGGTAATAACCCAGAGGTGGAATTTTTCTCCATGCTTCTTCAATTGATGACCTCTGTATGCATAAAGCTCTGTTTTACTTTCTTGTGCACAAACATCCTCTCATTTAACACTAACCCCTCTGGAAATGATCTGCAAATCCTAAAAGTGAAACACATCTCTTTGTTAATCTGCAGGACATGGATGAGCACATGAGGAGCATGCTTCACCACCGGGAGCTGGAGAAGCTTAAAGGCCGGTGAGTTCAGCTCTCGCCCTTTAAAAGTAAAAGTTTCTTTTGTCCGAATCTGTTTGGGTCATTTGCACGTGTGCACACAAGCACGTGTTTTGAAGAGGTGCTGACAGCTGCCTTCACTGCTGCATGTATATTTAGACCCAATCTGAACAACAGACATGGCTGTTAGAAGTCAAAGGGCTCCTTGTGACTCTCCATCCCCCCCTTAGATGACTGAAAGAATGTGGCCTGTTGCTGAGATTGCTGTCAGGATTTTGTGTCAATATGTAACATAAAGCGGTGGTTTGGTTTAAAAATGACACAATAATTCAGAGTCATTGTTAAACGCTGATGGTTTGTTCTGATTACTTTGTCCTAAAATTTGAGACAAAACATTTTTTTTTTTTTTGGAGCTGTACCAGAAATGAGTAACTCTATTTTAGAGGGGCTTGCCAGCTGCATGAGAGGCCTGAAAATGGTTCCACCCCATGACACAGATTTACAGAGACCCAGGAAAGCAGCTGCACCCACCCCCCACCCCCAAATGCAGAATGACAGAATGGCATACCAGGGTGAGGTTTAAAATGGAGTCTATGAGCAGCTGCCCTCAGCTTCGGTTTCACTGCTTTACTTGGGATTGGCGTTCAGGGTCTCCAGGCCCAATAACACAAACCGTCATGCAGGATTGAGGTGGGGGGTGGGTTTTGGCATTTGGAGCGCAGAGGGAGGTCAAATACAGACGGCGCCTTCTGTGAAGCACCAGAGCGCAGCGGACACCATCATGAAGGCGCACTGAGCTGAGGACGGCGGCCTCTTTTCCACCCACACGTCCCAGCGCTGTGCTGCATGGCTGGACTCCAACATCTAAACTAGCACGCTGCCTGGGTCCAGCCTGGCCGCCGCCATCTACGGCCTGCTGAAAAATAGGGAACATTAAGATCAGGATGATTTAAGACTTTAACGCATATAAATTTCTAAGTTAGTTGCCTCCTGATCTGCAAGAGACAAATCAGACTAATTATTTGACAGGATTGTTGAGTAATCTCCTTTCCTGGGTTTATTATTAAGACGTCAAAGTTATAAGCGAGTAGAGCCGGCGTGTAAGAGCAATCAGCAGCATCATGCCTGAAGGAAGGATTGAACCACCGCTCTCGCCTTCTCTCCCCAGTGACTGCGGACACGAGTGCCGAGTGTGCAAGGTGAATATGGCTAGCCTGACTGACTACGCCAGCCACATATCCGGCCCCACACACAAGCAAAACGTGGAGGCAGCCGTTAAACAGCAGAACAGGGATGACCAGGACGAAGAATACTTTGACCAGACGCTGGTGGAGCTGATCCAGAAGAGGAAAGAACAGATCAGGTAAGAAAATAAGATAGCTGAGTGATCTGATTGAGAAAAGAGGCTCCAGACTGAACTGCTCTGATGATTCTTTACTTAAAAAAATTTTTTTTTTCTGTGTGTTTTATATCATATCTAAGATGTAATCATGAGTAGGTCAAGCCACAGTCGGCCAACATATGCCATGTAGTCGCATTCTACCCTTTTTTAGCCGGAGTCAAATGTCAGACCTGTGGGCTAAAAAAAAAATGTGAAAATGCATGACCGCACACGGAGTTCAGACACGGGCTCAAACCTAAAACTTTGTGGATATATTAAGACACACTGGATATTTAAGCCTTTTATGATGACTTTGATTTATTATATAAGATTTGTCTAGACTAATTTTTATGCCATTCCATATGTTGATCTGTCTTACACCATGAATTAGAGACATTTCAATCAGGAGCTTCCGGAGCTGGTTTGACACCAGGCTTTGCTCCTCTGTCTGAGTCATGTTCAATCAGCTCCCATGACGTCAGCCTCTTTTCAAACCTTTAAAGAGCAGCGGTATTTGAACATTTTGTCCACATTTTGTAATTAAAGGAAAGCTCACCCCTAAATAATTTTCTTTGCTGATAAACTGCAAACATGGGTGTTTTATAGGGCTGTCTACATGTCCCAGGGCATTTTAGAGACAGTTTGCTGCACATTCCACAGTTTGGTCTAAAACTGTCTGTTTGGCACTCCCCTCAGTTCAAATGCGTGTACTGCGACTTTGAATCTGTTCTCCAAAACAAAACAAAAAAGGTATTTTTTTGCGAAAAAGCAACAGGATGGGTCAGAAATCTTTATCTGAGATGTGATAAATAATAAACGGATCTAACCTACATTTATTTACAGAGATGTTTTTAGAAATATTCAGAGATCTCTTTACTTTTTGTTGGCGATAAAGCTTTTCCAGCAGTTTTCCACTCAGATGAAACCAATCCCATGCAGTCATTAAGTCGCTTATGTAGGTGACTTCCTGTGATGGCCGTAGTGTCTGAGTGCTTAACAAAAGCAATATATGAAATCAATCACCTTAAAAAATTTGCATCTTAGCCTCATGTAGCATGTTAGCTGACGCTAGTTAGCATGTGCTGCAGTTTTGCTGGACCTCTGAACCAGAGCCGTCCTGCAGAGAAAACTTCCCCCCTTCATATACGGTAGTATTTGATTATAAAATTATGAATACATGCCAATTTTGGCATGAATGAATACATCTTAATAGTGATAAATCTACATTGGGTCGGGACAGATAAATCTTGAAATAAAAAAAAATATATATACATACCGTATGTTGACATTAATTAAGCTTACATAAAGGAATGAATATATCTTTAGATAGATAACTGATAAAATGTGTTTTTATTTAATTACAAATATTAATTTATGTTATGGAATATTTATTTATAATTTGTTTACAGTATTTTTGTTCAATTTAGAAGTAAATGGCACCCCTTGATTGTTACTAAGGGCAGTACTTCTTTATTCTTTTTTAAATCGATGCCTTTCATATTTGTGAGTCATTTTGGTGGAATGGCGATTGTGATAACATGCCCTTAATATAGCTTATACATAGTCAGAATTCTGATTCTGATTAACTTTGATTGTGAGGTTTTATACCAACATATCCAAAGCCAGTCTGTTCCATGGCAGACATACCTCTCTAAGACTGAAAACAGCCTCAGAAGTTGTTCTCATATTTTTTAATGATCCAATAACATCCATGTTTATTTCATTTGTAGAAAAGAGAAGGAAGCTGCAGCTGCAAAGCTGGCAAAAGAAGAAGAAGAACGAAAGAGAAAAGAGGAGTTTCAGCAGAGACTGAACAAACTTAAGGAACGTTACTTTCTGGAGCGGCAGGCGTCCCAGCAGGGCTTCAATGGACCCCGCCAGCACAACTCTTGGCACAGAAGAAGCTACCATGATGGCAGAACGGAGGGGCTGAAACCATTGTATCAGAACCAACAGGGGAAGAGCGCCACGTGGCACGCCCAGGAGGCCCCTGGTTTACAGAGATGGGCGACCATGGAGTTTTCCAATGAAAGGGGGGATGGCAGCAAGACTCGGGGCAACGGCAGTGAGCAGAGTCGACTGCCCTGGCTCTGCAGTGGAGGAAGCAGTAACGGACTCTATGGTCATAACAACATTGCCAGGTACGCCTCACAGGCAAGGCCCCACAGCTTTTTGGGGCCTAGGTTTCTGGGCCAGGCTTTCAACCACTTTGGAAGTAGAGGAGATGTTAGGAGAGGTCAGCAGGACTCCAGGTATCAAAAAGAAGAGGCTTCACCGGCAGACTCAGACCATCATGGTAAAAATTCCAAAACTCTTGGCAGCAATCCTAAGTTAGACAAAAGCTGCCGCTGGTCTCCCTATCCTGTCGTGTCCGGATCGCATGGTGAGATGCTCCAGAATACGTCAGAGACGCTCCTGAAACCCGCCCAGTCTGATCCCAAACCAGGTGACTCAGGCGTGCAAAGTGTGGAAGAGAAAAAGAAGCATCCATTGAAACAAAGACTGGCCCTCAGTGATAGCAAACAAAGCAGTGAGCCTAGAAATAGAACCTCACAACAGGAAGAGCAGAAGAGTTCCTCAGTCCCTGAAACCAGAACTGTGGCCTCCAGCCTGAAGTCAAAACCAATTGGTAAACAAATTGGGAGCAAGGTACCTGTTGGCTACCTGACTGAACGGCAGGAGAAGTTCCTCCCAGAGGTGAAACGCTCAGTCAGACAGATTGGATTCGAGAGAAGGAGCTCTATTGAGAGGACAACCCGCCCTGGGGAGCAACAGCTGGATCACAGACACAACCAGAGCCCGCCAGTCAAAGACAAACACCGGAGTTCTGGTAAAGCATCACCTCCTGTGGTAGTCAGGCAGGAAAAGGCTCCACCCTCATCTACCGAAGACAACTTTGTCCAGTCACTTCAGGTCAGCACCTCCAACACAGTGAGCACAGAGCCTGCAGCTTCAGAGCCTGCAGCTTCAGTAAGGAAGGAAGAGGAGAGCGGGGACGGAGCAGAGAGGCGGAGCTCCTCAGGAGTCCAAACTGAGGCAGGCCAGAGCTCAGAGAGCGACACGCTCAGAAGCAGTGAAGCCCAGATGGCCTCGGGGTCGGACACATCCGCCTTGTCCAAACTGGACCTCCCCCCTGTCTTAAAGAGGGACCTTACCAAACACATGAGCTCCAAAAGCAAAGCCACGGGCCACGAGCCGAACCTGAACATCGCCCGCCGCGTGCGAAACCTCAGCGAGTCGAGGCGGAGCGACGCGGAGAAAGATTCTGGCCTCAAACCGACTGTGAGGCAGCTGATCAACTCCTCCGGCCCACGGCGCAGTGTGAACTGGGAGCAGGTTTACCAGGAGGTCCGAAAGAAGCAGGACAAGGGAAAAGGCATGCCGAGGTGAGGGTTTCCTCCAAGACGTTTCCATTCTCTGTCACTGCTGTTTAGATTAACACGTTTCATCTGCGCTTCCTCAGGTTTGGCATTGAGATGGTGCCGTTAGAGCAGGAGTCCCAAAACCAGGGGGAGGATGGAGACGCCCTGCTGGAGGGCTTTCAGTGGGAATCACTGATGGAGATCACAGCTGAGAGCAAATCTCGTAAACGCTCCCTGTCAGAGAGCAGCCTCACGTCTGGAATCCCTCATCCCGTGTGTTTTTCTTTAAAATCAGAGGAAACGGTAGAGGAGCAGGAGTCTTTGCCTCTTTCTGCTCCAGAGAAGCCAGACAAACTGGCCAAAGTTCTCCAGCCGTCTGATTCAGCGCTGGGGGACAGCAGCTCAGGGACGGAGCAGTGTGACGGGCAGGGGACGGGAAAGAGGAGACGAGCCGCAGGGGTGAGTTCAGGGAAACACGCTTTAACCTCTAGTTTATACCTCCATGTCTAAACATTTCTCTCTCATGTTTAGGACTCTCCCAGCATGGGGGCATCTTCTCTGGAGGGGGCCAACAAAAGGAGGAAAATCAAACCCAAAAAAGGTTTGCATCAGGATTAGAGATTACAGCTCTTAGAGGCCTGAGTTTACCGCCACTGAAGATCCTAATGCGTTTATTTGTGTTCGGAGCAGAGCGCCTGCAGATTGACCAGCTGCTCGCTGTGTCACTGCGGGAGGAGGAGCTGAGTCAGTCCCTACAGAAAGTGGACGCCAACCTGATCCAGGCCCGGGCGGCGCTGGAGGCCGCCTACCTTGAGGTGCAGCGACTCATGGTGGTTAAACAGCAGGTAGGCTGTGTTTCCACAGGTCCTTGGAAAAACAGACCATGTTAGATTATTAATCCAAGAATAATTTCAATAATCTTTAAGAACAGTAAAAAAACTACACTTAGTCAAAAATTTTGAAATCATGATGCATGTTCTCAAAATAAGAAGTCTCCCCAAGTTTTATTGTCTTTCTGCTCTTTGAATTAGATTTTAACAAAAGTGTTGGATCTTAAAGTGTTTCAGTAAAACCTCATTAGAACCCAAACTCCTTATTACAGCTAAAGTTAACGTGTTTTTATCCTCCTTTAGATGACAGTGGAGATGAGCACGCTGAGAAACAAACGGATAGAGCTGCTCAAAGGCATGCAAGGTAAAAAAAACAACAACATTTAGGTTATAATCAGTTATTATATTATATTTAGATATTTTTAGCTAAGCATTGCTCTTTGTTTCTTTTGAACTTTCCATCCCACATTTCTTAAACAGATTTACCAACAAACAAGGAGAATGATGCGTTTTCTCAATGATTTTCTTAAAGAAAAATCTCAAAAGTGTGGTGTGCATTTTTCTTCCCCCTTTCACGCCTCTTCTCTCACAATACCCCTCCACCTGAGGTTCTAGATATGTATGAAAGGAGCCTTTCTGTCTGTAATCTAATCTCCATCTTTTTTTTAAGATCTCAGAAGTTTTGTTGACATAGGTGGACAAACTGCATCAGGAAGACTGAGTCCCAGAGTAGACTGACTAGAAAGGAACTTGCGGAGAGAGTTAGGCTATAAAACGGTGTTCAGTTTCAACATCTAATGCTACGTTCACAGCACACGTGATAGAAGCAGCTGGTAAGGCGCATTAAAAGGTCCTGCAGTGCGTCTCGAGCAGTGCATCTTGACACATTTTAGCATCCGCCTCATGAGCTTCTGAGCATCTGATGCGCGTGACACACTTCACAAACAGCAGCTGCTGGAGTTGGAAAATTTTAACTTTTACTGCTCAACGTGCCACACCAACCAATCAGAGAAGCTGATCTGTGAGCTGACAGGGACAAAGACATGCCGCTGCTGATGCAGAACAATATGATCAGTCCTTTTGAAACAGTTTATTAATGCCTAAATTAACTTAAATTGTCAAAACCGTCTGGCAAAATGTTATTATTTATTTATTATTATTCTGGTGCCTACAGTTTGTACCACAAAAAGTAAAAATGCTAACATCTACTTCCAGCCGTCACAAACAGCAGCGGAAACCCCCAGCTGCTGCTGGATTCCCAGTGACCGTGCACCCGGTATGTGGGCGTCTGCGCACCTCCGACAGCAAAAATTATATTTTAAGACAGAATGAACAGATGATGTTTTGAGGTGCACTCTCTCACTTAAGAATATATTAAATCTAATTTTTACCAGCTTATCACAGCAAATATAGCAAAGCTGCTCTGCCATTGAACACAGGAGCAGCAGAAGCATCAGACGCACCTGTATACACTTTACTAGACGCCCCTCAGGAGCATCAAAAATGCTCTTAAGGCGTCTGAGCTTAATGTGTATAAGTATCAAAATAAAGGAGCAGGCGCTTTTTTGCTGGACAAAGCGCGTGAGGTGTAAATGTAGCATAAGAAAACCCCAAACTCTCCCAGATACTCCATCAACTGACAGGCTTTACATCTGCTCATTGACTGATGCATTAGTACGCTCAGCAGGCGTGCCTTGGTGTCCTAAAGGATAAGCATTGCTGGTCTCTCTACCTGCTATCCATTGTTAATGTTTTGTTTGTATTTTTTGTTGTTGTTTAAATGTAGACTTCTGTAGCATTTGTTACCATTGGATTTCATGTAAATGGAAGTAGGAAAAGTAACATGGACTCTAAGAATCGGCTCGACAATATCTGCTGTTATCAGGAGTGGCCTTAAAAAACTGTATTAGTGATTAGGGAAGTGGCCCAGAGGCCCTTTAAATAATGTGAGGTTTATGTTTTAGATATGAGAAACGTGTACTTTTGAAAATATTTGAAGGGGAACTCTTTTGACAAAGTCTGTATGAAACACTTTGATGTGCTTTTATCTTTTTAGGTGCTACTGAGGAGGCTCCAGAGCTCAGTCTGAAACTGAAAGACATGGCTGATTTTGGAGCAGAGCTCTCTGAGAAGTCCTCCACTGCTGGGTGCAGTCCTAATCATTCTGCAGAGTGTGCTTCCCCGCCTTCCTCCACTCTCCCTCAGCCCGTAGTCATCAAGGAGGAGCCCCAATCTCCAGTCTGCATCAACTTGGAGCCGGATCCTTATAGCAATATAACGAGCTGTGCACACAGCACCACCGCAGAGCTACAGAACCCCTCAGGTAACTTCATTTGGAGTCCCTGGTCAGTGAAATAAACCATGTTGATTGTGTGTCTCAGCAGGTTTTAAATGTTTACTTTTATTAAACATTAATGTTGCTTCAAGCTTTTAGATACAATTAAAAAATCATTTTCTATCTGTAACCCAGCAGATCCTGTCCACAGCCTGAGGATGTCTCCTGGAAGAGAACCTGAACCTCAACAAACTAACACAGAAGACCCTCCAGCATGCAAAGAGAAGCTATCTGCACAGATCAACAAAACCGAAAGGTCTCCAGAGGCGTGGAGCTGCAACAGCTCTAAAACAGTTTCAAAGTCATCACCCACCAGAAGAGGCTCTGAGCTCCCTGATACTGCTGTCACTGAGTCGCTCCAGTCCACCCCAGCGTTTATTTTGCCCGACCCTCCACTAGAGCTAAGGAGTGGAAGGCGCGTGAGGAAGCTCAAGAAGAGGAAGGTGTTGAAAAAAGCCCAGGGAGTAGAGCAGTTTCAGAGCAGTGACACCGAGATGGACGAGGAGGCCTCAAGGCCTAGGTGGATGCGCCAGCGCAGGAGGCCGAGCGGAGGCTCTCAGTTCAGCACCTCCAGTTTGCCAACGGATGAAGGCAGCAAGAGACCTAGCAGCGGCGTAAAGGCCAACAAACGTTCAGACGCAAAGGTAGCACTTCCCCAAGAGAACCTTGATGTAGAAGGAAGCATGGAGGTGTCGGCGGCCTGTCAGCAGCCACAGGAGGACGCGTTCACCCAGGCTACTCCTCCACCTGCAGTCCCTGGCCCAATAAAATCTGAGCCGCACAGCCTGGCCTGCAACGAGGTCTCCTCCACCAGTGACATGGATCTGTGCAAATCCTCTGAGAGGTTGGTCATACAAAAAAGCAAAATCCCGAAAATTAATATTTATTTACATTTTCTAGAGTTTCCAACTAAATAATCTCATAAAGCATCAGAAAAGACTAAATAAATCCCATGATTCAGTTCCTGCCATCTGTTAAAAAAAGAAACAAAAAAATATTTAATGTTTGGAAGAAGATTGCAGCCATTGCTGCTTTAATATCATCACCAGTGATTTATATGGAAGAGGCTAATATCTTTAATATTACACCAATGTTTTGGTGTGTTTTTTCTGGATATTTTTTAAGGAAAAAAGCAAAAAAAAATTTTTATAATGCAAAATATTTGTAGAAATCACACATTTACAGAAATTACAAATCAAGTTACATTGATATATCCATTGCATAGTTATTTAAAAAGTCATATTTTGTGCCTTAGTCTTATAGATTATTAGCTCTCTGCCTCAATAGTGTCTAATGATGGATGTTTTGTCTTTTCAGTGATTTATCTTTTCCCGTCACGCTGCCCAGGACCTCATCAGGTACGTTGGTCATTCATTTTATTGTTGTATTTTTTAAGAAACAGACTCGAGTGGATATTATTTTACAAAGGCCAATTTATTTGGAGTTATTGGCCAGGTTATTTGGAGTTGTTTAGTGAGAAAAGGGGTTTAGGTTCAGCAGGTCTTTCTGTCTCATATATTTTTTCTTCATTTTATCTCTTCCTGTAAAAAAAACAGTTAATACCTGGGGCTGTTTAGTATGGGTAAAATATTATTTTGTTTTTCAGCATTTGTATAAATTACAGTGATGAATAGCTATTAAAATGTTCATATCGCATCAAACATTTAATGTAGTTGTACATATCAAAGGTGATAGCAGTTAATTTTTACTATTATTGCTTTTGTGTACATTATGTCTAATTATGTTTAGTTGAAATAAATATTTTTTTAGTGAATATGGGGAAAATATTAGAAGTTCATAATGTTTTTTATTCACAATTGTAGTTTTACATGAACAAATTATATTTTTTTATTGAATTAATGAATTAATGAAATAGAATAAATCAAAATCAAATCAAGAGCTACAAGTTTACCACCTCCATTAACATTAGCACTCGCCCACCCATGTCTGCTTATGGCTAACCTTGATTGGGGTTCCCCCTCATTTCACAGAGAAGAAGCCAATAATATCAGCTATGTGTGTGTGTGTGTGTGTATATATATATATATATATATATATATATATATATATATATATATATATACATACATATGTGTATATATATGTATATGTATATATATACATATGTGTATATATATGTATATGTATATATATACATATGTGTATATATATGTATATGTATATATATACATATGTGTATATATATATATGTATATGTATATATATATGTATATATATGTATATATATATATACATATTTTAGACCCTTTAAAATGCAGAAAACTAATATTTATACGCCATATATTGTTTTATTTTCTGTAAAATCAATACTTGCTTTAAACATATGGTTTGTTGTTCGGCTCCCTCCAGTGGTCTGGAACGCTTTCGTTTTTTTTTTTGTTTTTTTTAGTGACTTTGCTGCTGTTTTCAGTATTTGCATCATTATCTTTTTGGGGATTGCAGCATTTCTCTCTTGCTTTTTTTTTTGTTTGTTTGTTATTGCGTGTTTTCCGAGTTAGCTTCACAGATATTTGCAGCTCGTTTTGTCGTTTATTCAGCATTTGCATCCGTTGGCCGCAGTCATTTTGGGCAATCGGCCAATACTTTAATGTAAAAGCGATCTTATTTTCTCGCCCTCAAAAAAGAAAAATCCGATCGGCCATAAAACTGCTACAATCATTTCCTTTATTTCCATTTCCATTTAAGCCCTTAATCCTATTATTGTTTACTATTTTATTTATATCAACAAATTATTTAAGGACATCTGCTAAAGATGCTACACTCACCTACTAATCTGAAAGTATTTTTGATTAGCATTTCTTAGCTGTATAATGTGGAACTTTTTTTCTGTGTGTCTGCCTGTGTTTGTTAGACGCCTTCTCCGATCATGGTGAGGATGACATGCCGACTGAAGGAACATTTCATGGCCACCAGGAGGCTGTGAACGCCCTCCAGATCCACAACGGGCTGTTGTACACGTGCTCCGGGGATCGGACCATCAAAGCCTTTGACTTAGTGGTGGGTGACGCTCCAACTCTGCTGCCTAATATCATGTATTTGTTGAAAATAAAACAGCTTTTCTTGTTGCAGAGTCATAAATGCGTGGGCGTGTTTGAGGGTCACAGCTCCAAAGTGACCTGCCTGTTGGTGTCCGTCGCTCCATCCTTACATCATCGCCTTTATTCGGGGTCCAGCGACCAGACCATCCGCTGCTACAGTCTCAAGGTAAAAGCAAATTTGTTCTGAATTGTTCCGTTGCCATGTTTGGACATTTCCCTAATGCTGAATGTTGTCTGCAGACACAAGAGTTTGAGCAGCAGTTCCAGCTGTCCGACCGAGTCCTCTGCCTCCACAGCCGATGGAAGATGCTATACGCTGGTCTGGCCAATGGCACAGTGGTGACCTTTAACCTCAGGGTGAGGGATACATGACAACAAGCTACTGTTTAGTTTGATTGATTTTATTTGAAAAGCACCAAACCTTTATTATTTAATGTTAAAACTAATATATTTTCTTGAGTTGGTTTAAATAGAGGATGGACTTTGACCCTATTCAAAAACTGTTATTTCAAAATAGTTTTTGTTTTAGTTTTTATATATAGAGGGAATTTCGTTTCATTATTGTTGCAAGCAAAGATAATTTTTTGTCAATACAAACATAAAACATTTATATAAAAAAAAAAGTAGATGTATTTCTTTTAATAGTCCTAAAATATGAAACATAATTTGAAAAAAAAACAAAGTTTTTGTAAAAAAAAAAAACTAAGTCTGGGAAAACATCACAGTTACTCTTAAAACCTTTTTCTGATTAAGAAATGTTTCAAAGTTTTATTTCTGGATCGCATTTTCATTATTAAATTTCCATTTACAAAATGTTTTCTTTGATTTTGACAATAATGGAACGAAATTCCATATAAAAAAGGTTTATGAGTCAAGTTTTTTCACTCCTGGACACATTACAGACCTCAGGAGAAAATAAAAAGATCAAAACTATTTTACCAAAAAAAGTGATAAATTAGGTAGTTTGGGTCTTTATTGGTTAAAGAAGGAAACTTTTGTTCCTAAGAGTCAGCCTGGCTGTATGTTCAGGGTCTTCTGCAGCTTTTAACTGGTTTCCTTCCAGTATTTACTTTTATTCAGCTTTCCATGGGCTGATTTGCTTCCCTCTAAAGCTGCTATCGTTTCTTTTTTTTGGGCTACATCTAATGGCTTAAGCTGCTCTTGAATGAAAGCCTGATTTGTAGAGTGGTGTCTTAAAGTCCAATCATTGGTTTCTTCCAACTGAGCTGTTGTTCCATGTAGCTCCTCCATAGATTCCATAGGTCCTCCTGCTGTTTCCCTGATTAATGCTCTCCTTGCCTCTTTACCTAACTTTATAGATTTTTATTTACAAACTAAGGTTACTGCTTGGTAAAATGATCCATATACTTAACATTTAAGCACCACCTTGTGTCGGCCCTGAAGCTTGTGTTTGTTTTCAACTGATGAAAAACTGCTTTCATCTGCAGCAGCTTGAGTTGACGGAGTTCATGTTTTTGCGCTTCATTGTTTAGACAAACAAGCAGATGGACACATTTGAGTGTCACGGGCCACGTGCCGTGAGCTGTCTGGCCTCGTCGCAGGAGGGAGCACGGAGGATCCTGCTGGTTGGCTCCTATGACAGCACCATCAGCGTGAGAGATGCTCACAGCGGGCTGCTGCTGCGCACGCTGAAGGGCCACATCAAGGGTGTTCTCTGCATGAAGGTCGGTCAGCGCAACATTCTGAAGACATCTTTTTATGGTTTATCCAAAGGTCTAATAGCCTCCTCCATCTTTTCTCCCTTCCAGGTGGTCAATGATCTGGTAATCAGCGGATCCAGTGATCGTTCTGTTCATACCCACAACATCCACGTACGTTTCTCTCATGGTTCTATTTCTCTAACATGAAAACCTTTTCTTATTAAATTCATAAATTTACTAAAACTTTTTTTTTTTTTTCTTAAAAAAGACAGGGGAGCTCGTTCACTCATTTAAAGGTCATAGCCATGGTGTTACCGTGGTGACCGCTCTGGGGAAAGTCATGGTCACAGCCTGCCTGGACAAACTGGTCAGAGTTTATGACCTACAGGTCAGTCTGTCCAGAAACTAAAAAATAATTGTTCTTGCTACAGATTTCTTTCAGTTATAGAAGGGAAAATAAGATTAGGTTTTGTTTCATTCTGGAAATGTTCACTGTGTCCACAGACTCAGGACCAGCTGCAGGTCTATGGTGGATACAGTGATATGGTGTTATGCATGGCCATCCATAAGAACATGGTGAGAAAACATGACGTATTTATTTCTAAGTAACTTTGACTATTTTATCTAGATTATAATTCCTCCCACATGTTCTCACAATACTTACAGGTGCTGGTCATAAAATTAGAATATCATGAAAAAGTAGATTGATTTCAGTAATTCCATTTAAAAAGTGAAACTTGTATATTATATTCATACATTACATACAAACTCATATATTTCAGATGTTTATTTTGTTTAATTTTGATGATTACAAATGACAACAAATGAAAATCTCAAATTCATCATATCAGAAAATTAGAATATTACTGAAGACCAATAAAAACAAAGGATTTATAGAAATGTTGGCCAACTGAAAAGTATGAACATGAAAAGTATGAGCATGTACAGCACTCAGTATTTAGTTGGGCCTCCTTTGGCCTGTATTACTGCAGCAATGCGGCGTGGCATGGAGTCGATCAGTCTGTGGCACTGCTCAGGTGTTATGATAGCCCAGGTTGCTCTAATAGTGGCTTTTAGCTCTTCTGAATTGTTGGGTCTGGTGTATTGCATCTTCTTCTTCACAATACCCCATAGATTTTCTATGGGGTTAAGGTCAGGAGAGTTTGCTGGCCAATTAAGAACAGGGATACCATGGTCCTTCAACCAGGTACTGGTAGCTTTGGCACTGTGTGCAGGTGCCAAGTCCTGTTGGAAAATGAAATCTGCATCTCCAAAAAGTTGGTCAGCTGCAGGAAGCATGAGGTGCTCTAAAACTTCCTGGTATGTGGCTGCGTTGACCCTGGACCTCAGAAAACACAATGGACCAACACCAGCAGATGACATGGCACCCCAAACCATCACTGACTGTGGAAACTTTACACTGGACTTCAAGCAACGTGGATGAAGTGCCTCTCTTCTTTTCCTCCAGACTCTGGGACCTTGATTTCCAAAGGAAATGCAAAATTTACTTTCATCAGAGAACATGACTTTGGACCACTCACCAGCAGTCCAGTCCTGTTTCTCTTTAGCCCAGGCAAGACGCTTCTGACGCTGTCTGTGGTTCAAGAGTGGCTTGACACAAGGAATGCGACAGCAGAAACCCATGTCTTTCATACGTCTGTGTGTGGTGGTTCTTGAAGCACTCACTCCAGCTGCAGTCCACTCTTTGTGAATCTCCCCCACATTTTTGAATGGGTTTTGTTTCACAATCCTCTCCAGGGTGCGGTTATCTCTCTTGCTTGTACACTTTTTTCGACCACATCTTTTCCTTCCCTTCGCCTCTCTATTAATGTGCTTGGACACTGAGCTCTGTGAACAGCCAGCCTCTTTAGCGATGACCTTTTGTGTCTTGCCCTCCTTGTGCAAGGTGTCGATGGTCGTCTTTTGGACAACTGTCAAGTCAGCAGTCTTCCCCATGATTGTGTAGCCTATAGAACTAGACTGAAAGACCATTTAAAGGCTTTTGCAGGTGGTTTGAGTTAATTAGCTGATTAGAATGTGGCACCAGGGGCCATCAATTTTGAACCTTTTCACAATATTCTAATTTTCTGATATGATGAATTTGAGATTTTCATTTGTTGTCATTTGTAATCATCAAAATTAAACAAAATAAACATCTGAAATATATGAGTTTGTATGTAATGTATGAATATAATATACAAGTTTCACTTTTTAAATGGAATTACTGAAATCAATCTACTTTTTCATGATATTCTAATTTTATGACCAGCACCTGTATTGTCTCAATGTCCAAAATGATCATGGTTTATGACTCAACAACTCAATTTTATTAAAACGTTTTCAAGTAATCCTATCAAAGAACCAACAACGCTTTTGTATTTTTTCGTCTTAAGTAAACTTCTTCCGAACTTTTAAGTCCAATGCTAAAGCTGCCAGTAGTCACTGCTGCCACCCTCTGGCTTATAGTGGAACTGCATGTTTCACCAAACCTCACTATCTCACATGTTTCTCACAATGTTTAAGATTCCTTTAAAAACTCCTGGATCCAGCTTATGATCTACATTATCTATGTAGGGTAGAGTGAGATGAAGCAACTGCATTAAGGAGCCATTGCTAAGTTACATTTGGGTTGATTATGTAGTAGTGTTATTGCAGTAAATGTTGGTTTGCTTAAATCCATCATATCAGATCCCCTCAAAATGTATTGAAGTTTGTTTTTACAACTTGGAACAGGAAAACTTCTGGAAGTTAATATAAAATGTGTATATGTGTCAAAATTTGAGTTAAAAGCTTTTTGGATGCATTATTGAGTTGTCCTCTAAGCTAAAGTCCTGTGATAAACATATAAAGAACACAGAAATTATTTCTAATCTTCAGGATGATTGTGTGTTTTCAGATCTACACAGGGTGTTATGATGGCAGCGTGCAGAGCGTGAAGCTGAACATGATGAAGAACAACCATTGCTGGGTAAGATAGCATCCTGATTCATTTGGTTTGTTTACAAACTTCCCCTCATACCAGCTGTTCAGCATGGAAATATTAATGGCCGCTGTGTTCACAGTGGCATGGCTGCCCGCTGGTCTTCGGGATGTCGAAGCATCTCCAGCAGCACCTGATCAACGACCACACTGCAACTGACTTCCAGGCATTCAAGTGCCGCTGGAAGAAGTGTGAAGAGTTTTTTAGCGCACGCAGCAGCTCCAACCAGGTATAGCATCAGCCAGCACAATTTCAGACATTACTTTTCAGTAGAACTGCCTTTACGCTAAAACACATCTGACTGAAGTTAATAAAAAACTGTAAAAAAAAGGGAAAGAAATATATTTGAAATGTTAATTTATTTTTGCAGAAACAGTGCTTTGCAGAATATTTCTACCTATTCATTGTTTTTGTTCTATTACAAACACAAAACCTAGTTTATTTTAGGGGATTTTTATTAGATAGGCAAACACACAGCTGTGGGAAATAAAATCTTCTATATAAGTGGATTTGGTGGTTGAGACTATTCTGTATGAAGTCAGAATTCAGCTATAAGTCCACATGTGTACTATATAGTCATAGGAGCAGTTTTATTTAAAACACATGCACATGAACTACTACATATTTTATGAACATTTTATGCAACCAGATTCAATACCATGAGGACCCCATTATATTCCAATCAAGGAACTAAAGGGTAGTTAACCAGTACCTTAAGGGACTACTGGTTTGTTAGCAGATTAGAAAATCTCAGTGTTGAATAAACCCTCAACCAGTGTTGTCACAGCTAATGAAATACTTCTTGCTACCAAATGACTGCCTAGCTATTATTTTATGGACTTTTTGAGCCAAGCATCATATCAAGTAGTTACTAAGGAACTAATAATTATCTAATCAGAACCCGACCATTATCCAATGTTTTTTTGTACCCTAAAGTGAAACTACCCATTAGTTCCTGCTTAATTGCTCTGTGTTTCCTTGGTAACTACCCATTAGTTCCTGCTTTATTGCTCTGTGTTTCCTTGGTAACTACCCATTAGTTCCTGCTTTATTGCTCTGTGTTTCCTTGGTAACTACCCATTAGTTCCTGCTTAATTACTCTGTGTTTCCTTGGTAAATACTCACTAGTTCCTCATTAGTTACTCTTTTTCTCCTTGGTAAATAACCATTAGGGCCTGCTTAATCACTCTGTTTCCTTGGCAACTACCCATTAGTTCCTGCTTCATTGCTCTGTGTTTCCTTGGTAACTACCCATTAGTTCCTGATTAGTTACTCTGTGTTTCCTTGGTAAATACTCATTAGTTCCTCATTAGTTACTCTTTTTTTTCCTTGGTAAATAACCATTAGTTCCTGCTTAATTACTCTATGTTTCCTTGGCAAGTATCCATTAGTTCCTGATTGGTTATTCTTTGTTTCCCAAATTTCCTCTCATCTAATGCAGGAATTTCCTTTTCTTTTGTAGATGGTGATCCTGCACATGCAGAAGCATGCTGAGGAAGAACCAGCAGTGGAGTCCTAAGAAGGCTGGTGGTGGGAAAACGTTTTCACTATCAGCCTTCTCCTTTAATAACCCTGCTCTCATTTAGCCTCCCATATTGGGAGGGGGGGCTTTGACACCTAACCGCCCTCCTTCCAGCCCGAAGAGCGGCTGTTTGACTATGTTATCCTTTATTTTTCCATGTTGGAATCCAACTGTGATTCTGTCCCAAAAGAAGTGGGGTAGGGGGGGTTGTGTTGTTTTAATACTTTCTAAGAAACGCTGTCCTTCCTTTTCCTTCTTTTCGACCACTGCGTGTCTTTTTTTCCAACTGACCAAACCAAGATAAAGAAATGCGCAACTTTTTTTTGTTGTTGAAGAAACTCCAGTGTTGCCAGGGTCTGAGTGATCTGTTACACTTTTGTGCTGCAAACGCAGTAAAAACAAAACAAAAATGGCATGGTTTGAGATGTTTTTGTAAGTGTGCATTTGTGAAATGTTTTGTTGAGCGACCTGAAGTAACTTTGTTTCTCTCTTTTAATTGCCGTAACTTTGTGTCAACGGCAGGACTGAGTCTGTTCGTGTGTAATCTCTATTTAACAGTTTGCTGGTAAAAAATCAGAAGGTTTTTCTTAGGGTTTTGTATTTATTTGTTGCGCCTCAGGGCATTTGGGGTGAGAACTGAGGTGTTTCAATCTGCGATTTGTCAGAAGAATGTTTTATTAACACTGTTATGTGAAACTGGTTTATCAAGAGTGAAGTGAAGTTGTGTTTTAACTTTTTTTTTTTTTTTTTAAGTTTAGATTTAAAGTATGGAGCAGAAGGCTGAGGAGCTTTATTTTCCACATTCATTATAGTTTTCTTATGAAAGTGTGGATCAGAGGGATGTTAAGAGAAGGTGTTGGATGGAAAGACGTAGAAGGAAAGAAAGTTTCATCTCCCATGCCAAAAATCCATAACTAGTAGCACAAGTTGTCCTTTTTAAGGTAAGTTCTCTTTAACCAGCAGTATGTTCTCTTTATTTGTACAGTTCACCTCTAATCTGGCATTCCTGAGTTTCTTCAAGATTATCCGTTCAAAGTTCTTTAAGAGCTGTTTTTTAAAGAAGTGCAATCTAAGATGTTAATAATAAAAGTTGTCTCTAACATAAAAATGTGTCTGTTTATATTTAAAGTAAAAAAAAACAAAAAAAAAAACAAACAATTTCACATCAGAACTGGTGGCCAACGCAGTCAAACCAACAGCTACGTATTTATTTATTGGGTTAAAATGATTAAAAATGTGGTACACACTCATTTGACCAAAGCCTTCATGTAGAGGAAAAAGCTGCAGTTAAAACCCTTTAACCAGATACTTTAAATCCATATTTGAACTTTGGTGTTTTAACTTCAAACCGATTCCAACCATGAGCAGAGTTTAAAAGGAACAGAGGAAGCCTGAGTTTCACCCAGCAGGGACGAAACATGGCTCAGTCACTGGTGGAGGGAATGTTTTTACCAACAAAACTTTGTAATATTAGAGATTTTATTCCCAGGTCTGTGAAAGAGGATCCATCCTGCAAAGTATAAGAAAAAAAAACAGTATGATGTATGAGAGGGGCTCTGTGAGGTATCGTGATGGTAAAGAGGTTGGTTGTGTTTGCTGCCTGAGAGAAGAAACAGTACAACGGTGATGATGTCATAAAATAAAAAATAAATAAACAAAGCCAATAAGTGAAAAAAGAGACTGATGTGGTGATCATGGTAGAACAGAAAGGCAGTGGGGAGACGTGGTTCTGGAACACTGAGCACTGAGGTAAAGGCTGGCGGGTCTGGTCCTTGTGTGGAGCGGCGTTCACCTGGGAGAAGATGGACCTCTCTAGGCGTACATGGTCAACTGGAGCCACTTCAGATGCAGGGTGGGGGAGAGAAGAAACACTTTTAAATAAGCAACAGTTCAGTCTAAACTTGGATGTTTGAATTTGGTTTGCATACACCATTTAATGTCTTGGTTCAGGGTTAAAATTATTTTGTAGGAGAAACAACATGCAAATTCGATTGTTTTAGAATTCAACATTCTACATATTTCTATCTAGCTGGATGTTTGACCAGTTGTCTTCTTAGAATCAGTAGAGCTCATTTGAAATGGTTGCCGTTGTCCAGTGGGGTCCCAGTGCAGCCAGGGGCCATTTGTGTCCCTTTGAAATATTTAATCCAGCCCCGAACCTGAATCAAACGAGCTGCAACTGTTATCCATAAATGCATGTTGTAAAGAGACAGTTGTTTGTTTTTATTTTGTAGAAACACATTCAAGGACTTTTACTCAATAGCTCAGTCAATAGCATATTTTTATTAGTATTTCTAAACTATATTTTCAATGCATAATTGTTTAAAGATACTTGAATACTTGTAAAAAAAAAAAACAAACATTTATATATATAATTTAAAAAAATATTACATGTTTACTAATCATTTTGTGTTTTATATATGTATATATAAATATAAATATTTTTTTTTGCATGATACTACCTCCACCATGCTTAACAGGTGCTATTATGTTCTTAGATTAGAATGTCTTGGTTCCTTGAAATTTTCTACTTGTATTGAGACCAAATTGCTATCCCTTTTCCTCATCTGACCATAAAGCTCTAGATTCAAGCTTTGGATTATGTGAGGCAGTTTTATAAATTTCTTTGATATGAAGTTTAGAGCAGGGGCATGTCTCTCTGTTGGTATGGAGTCAATTTTGTTCCACTATAGTTGCATGTAGAGAAGAATTAATGAATGTAAAGAAATACAACCCAGTAATTTGATATAAAAAAAAAAAAAAAGGTTAGGAAATGTCTTTGCTGTTTTCTTTGGAAACAAAAAATTAAATCCCAAACTGTGTTTAAAAAAACAACAAAAAAAACCTAATTTTTTGAGAGTTTATGTTCTAAAATTGTATTTTTCATATTTCTGTTTTTCAGACTTTTTTTTTACGAACTGCATTGAGGTACAAAGATGCATTTCTGTTGGTCTGCTTTGACCTTCATAAAAAACTTTTATTGAGTTTGAAATGAAAAGAATGAGATCTGTAAAATGCAATTAGATAAAATGCAACACTTAAAATTTGGAAAAACAGAGATTTAAAAACAGAATTTGAAACTTATAAAACCTGTTAAAAGAAATTGTGAAAAGAAAAAAAAAACTGTCTGAAAAATTAAAACCTAAGAAAACAGCAGTTACTATCTAAACTTGTTTTTGAAGTAGACGTTTTAAAAAGTTTCATTTTTGGAATTCACTCCTTTAACATTTTTATTCACAAAGCTTGTTTTTGCTTGCAAAAAATATTTGGACCAAGATTTACTCCATAGACTGACAATGTTTCAGTGGATGTTAATGTTAAACTGGCTTTACTTTGAAATCCTTGAAATCCAGCAAGTTAATGATCATTCCTGAACATACAGACTATTTCTATTTCATGGTACCAGTTTGGTCTGCTTGAAGAAATAGTGACTGTTGTAATCATGGCAGGAAACCAACAGATTGAAAGGAGACAGAACATTTGTGTCATAACTATATAAACATGCTGATTGGCTTCCTACCTCCAGGACGCTGAGTCTAATGGTTCCATCGCCATCCTGGTCAAATGCTTGGAAGGCCCCTGAGAAAAAAATAAAATAAAACTGCAACTTCCACTGGACATTTAGAGGTTTAAACCTTTGTTATCCAAAGTAACTTGGACACCACTTTAAGCAAACAAGGCAAAATCATGAGGTCAGATCTGATCTGCAGGGTCTGAAATCTAAGATTGGATTTATAACAAGGCCTCAGGATAGCTTCAAACGTAGGAAGTCAAAGCTTTATTTCAAACAATCTGATTTAACATGCTGCTATATCTTATTAATTGTGCTTTGGTGATTATGGTTTTCAATAAAGTGAAATTGTCAGTTGAATTGTGGAGAATCTAAGCTTTCTAAAGATGTATGTATGCATGTCTATATTGGTAAACGTTTAACTGGTGTTATTTTCAAGCTAATTAAAAAGCTGTGTTCAAAGTAAATATACAAAACGGTGTGCCGGTGACCCAGTGAAAGTTAATCCAAAAGCTAATTAAAAAATTTAAGCAAATTTAAATAGGTTAAAAAGCTAATTTAAAAAGTCAATAAGCTAAATTAAAATGTTCATAAGCTTATTTACAGAAAAGTTAAAAAGGTAAGTTACTTTGGCGGCGAGGGGCACCATGCTCATTTTTGTCCGGTAAAAGGACAGGCTCAGTAGAGCAGGAGAGATTTCTGCTGAGCTGCACCAAACTCTCTGTCTCACCAGATTTGCTATTTCCGGTGACTATCTTGGTTAATGGCAAGAGTCATGATACGGACTCAGCCTCTGATAATCAGTTCATGGATGAGGGGCTGGCTAGGCAATTGGGTATCAGGCTTCTTCCTTTGCCAGCTGCTTTTACGGTGATAGCCTTAGATGGCCACCAAATTAACCAGTCTCATTTAGTTTCGTAACCTATTGAACTAGAGGTTAGGGTTAACCACATTGAGAAACTGTCATTCCTCATAATCGAGTCACCATATGTTCCTACTGTTCCGGGGTACACTTGGCTGTGTAAGCACAACCCCCAGATTTATTGGCAAATGGTGGAGGTTCTTGGTTGGGCTTCTTCCTGCTCTGGTTCATGTTTGCTTTCTGTGCAGCCCAGCCAGGCAGCCGAGAACAAGGTTGAGGAGTTTTATCTGGACCTCTTCAAGGTCCTGGAAGAATACCACGACCTGAAGGAGTTGCTTAGCAAATGCAAGGCTACTGTGTCACAGTATACCTTGGTTGCGATATAGATCTGTCCCCTTAAACAATGCCCCCTAGGGGTAGATTATATTCTCCTTCTGCTCCTGAGTGTCAAGCTATGAAAAGATAGATTTCTGACTCCCCGATGGTCAGAGTTATCCATCCTTCTACCTTCCCAGCCGGTGCAGGGTTCTTCTACGGTGGGAAAAAGGATGGTTCCCTCAGGCCGTGTATTGATTATCTGGGCCTTAATGAGATAACAGTAAAGAACTGTTACCCGATTCCCCTGATTAACTCGGCGTTTGACCGGATTCAGGAGGCTAAGATCTTTAACAAACTGGACCTACGAAATGCCTGCTACCTATTACGCATTTGGGACGGGGATGACACCATGTGACCACAGGACACTATGATTGCCTGGTGATGCTTTTTGGGCTCACTAATCTGCTGGCAGTATTTCAGCATCTGGTTAATAAAGTGCTAAGGGATATGGTGGGTTAGTTTGTCTTCTTGTATTTAGATGATATCATCATTTATTCCAGAGATCTGGAAACCCACAGGAATAATGTTTGTTGTGTGTTACTACATCTGTTGCAGAACCAGTTGTTTGTAAAAGATGAGAAGTGTAAATTTCACATTTTCACATTGTCTTTCTTGGGCTTTGTAGTGTCTCCTGACCACATAGCCATGGATCCTGCGAAGGTCAGTGCTGTCACCGATAGGCTTGTCCCTAAAGATCGGAAGCATCTATACCTCCTAACATTGCTTTTACCTGGTATTAAGATAAATCCAATGCTCTGCTAGTGTGGAAAAAACTTTTTTTTTTTAATCTGGAACTTACTTTACTTTGCCCTCATTGATTTGGGTTGATTTGAATGACTTTAACCAGGTGATAATTTTACATTGATCATCAGGAGGTTATGGAAAAAATAAACTTTTCAGCATCACTCAGTCTCTGTGGGTATTTGGACAGTTTTTTTTTGTTTGTTAACGAGAAAATTCTGTAGCCGTGACTTACTGAACATGGCTTCAAGCCGGACCAGACAGCTGATGAAGCTGTCAAAGTCGATGTTCATGTTCTCGTTTGCGTAGCGCATCGTGATGATGTCATACAGCTGATTGTTGAGACGGAAGCCTGGACAGGACATAAGACACATGACTGCACCATGACGAGAACAACAAGAGAATGAGTTCAGGCTGTAAGTGAAGACTGGAAAAAAGACAACTTCTTGTGTTTTAATTCAATATTAAAATAAAACAACAAACAAGCGCTTTAAGGCTAGAGAGTCTCATGATGATGACCCAGAGATTAAAATTTAAATTATATTTACATATAATCTCTTTATCAAATTCAGCTTTACGAATTACATCTTTTTAACTTGCATTTTCAAGATTCTCTCCATTTCTGGGGGCGGACTTTCCTCCAGAGTGAGGAGCGAAGACACATTTCTATCGGTCTAAATGGACGTCAGTAAGGAAATTTTTATTGGACATCAGCAAAGCATATGTAGTGAGGAGAATGTGATCTGTGAAACGCAATTTGAAAAGAATGCAATATGTAGAACTTCATCTGAAACAAAGACATTTAAAAAAATTCTAATAATTTAAGAAAGCAGCAAAGTTGCTCTAAAATATTTTTAATAAGACTTTTTCAAAAGTTTCATTTCTGCATTTCATAGTTATTGTTTTTTCAACTTTCCAATTCCATGTTCTTTGCTTGCAACAACAAAGAAACAACATTTACTCCATATCTGAGCAGGTAAATAAAATGAGACAGAAAGCTCCTGTTGGTTCATTAAGTTTTGTTAACAAAAAAGCAAAGATTCTAGATCTATTATTTTCCAGTTATATAAAACTTAAAGAGACGCAGTGCCTCTCAGATATATTTGCACCCCTTTACTTGTTTTTTTTATGTGTCATTAAATCCACAAACATTAGTTTGTTTGTTGTTTGTTTTTTTTCTTATAATGTGTCACTGTGAAGGGAAGAAAAAGCATGTTCCTAAACCAAATCCAATTAATACTTTTTCTTCCACTTCACAGTACGGCACTACATCATTTAAAAAAGCCCCATTCTAAATGTTCTTACCTGCATCATTGACGGCGTTCCTCATCTCGTAACTATTGATGCTGCCGGACTGATCTGCATTATAATGTTTAAAGATTCCCTGGAAAACAAAAACAAAAAAAATACTTTTTCTACAGACACACTAGAAATAATTTCAGGAGGAGGTTCCTTTATCTGATACCAATGCTGTAAAACTAATGCACTGGAATTCTTATTGATGAATCTGAAGAGAATCCTATTTTGTTCCCCACCTGCCACTGCTTGATCTTATTCCACAGATGTCTGAACTCCTGCAGATTGAGTCTGCCCGTCCCATCCATCTAAATGGACACGGTTAAGTCCAAACTGGGCGTCATGTGAACACACAGGAACACAGAAAAGCCTAATTTTTCATTTTAAAACATTTCAAAACTATCCAAGAAACTCCCAGTGTACCATTGACAACAGCATCTGTGTGGGCTGTTAAGTCGGAGTGAACTCATGCCTGCTGAATTGAGTTTTCCTTCTTAGCAGGTAAATGCCACCTTGTCTGTGTCATGTTGCTTAGACCCCGTCTGCGTCCACCACAGACCCCACCAAAGGGTCTTAGCAGGTTGTGTCTCTTTTGCACAACACAACCTGCATGATGCGCTCGATACAAAGGATACGTCCATCAGAGCGATCATGCTCCTGCAGCTCTCCAGGCTAAAGCCCTCAGTGTTCAGGTCTTTATCTACAAGGAAAAGAGTAACACCAACGAAATTTGACATTTCAACCTTCCATATAATACAGACCTTTGAAAAAGTATTCATTCTCCTCAAACGTTTTTTTTTTTTTGTGATAATACAAATATTAAGTAAAGTATTTTATGAGAAAAATCAAAATTATTTATTGAATAAAAACCCATCATGAAGACCAAAGAACAGGTATGAAAACAATAATTTCTAATGTAAAATCATAAGCAGTCCTGTTTTTAAATTTGTTGAAATGCTCCGAAAATGGTTGGCCTACATGCAAAAAAAACAACAAAAAAACGTGGCGGATCAAGGGATTCTAAACATTTTCACAATAAAACATGGCAGTGGCAGTATCATGTTGTGGGTTCTTTTGTGCGATTGCTATATTAGAAACTACAATACAATTCAGCCTGCAGTTTAGCTTCAACCAGGTGAAAAATATAGAGTGAGAGTAGAATGCCTCCTGCATGTCATTAAAAATAAACCAAACAAAGGGGTTGTTTTGGTCCAACAGGCATCTGCCTTCACAACATAGTCCATCAAAGGAGGCCTGCGTAATAGTTTGCTGTAAGAAGCACTTGTTGCTGTTGACTATATTAGCTTAGCCGCAGTTTGGCAGGGCTGTCTTCAAAGAGACCATTCCTGTCCCATCCTTATCAGCTAAAGCAAAAAGCAGCACTAAAAGCAAAGCAATCATTAAAGTTGTGCACAAAAAAAGAAAAGGGGGCGAACAATTAGTGTCACATGACTGTATATACTCATGTGTATCTCTGGGGGTCAATACGAGACTTTGCTAACATTGGTACTCGATCAGCAAATGTATAGCAACAATCATTGAGCATTGCCTGGGGCGATTAATAGGGATGAAATAGAAACTAAAAGATGTATAAAGCAGTTCAGTATGACAACATCTAAAATGTTTCCATATTAACTCAAGGGATTCATTCTTTTCAGATTAATAATTTCTGAATTAAATCTAAAAATATGTGCTATTTCTCTTTTAATTATGCACAATTTTAAAGTGAGTAATACAGCTAGATATAAAAACTGACTGGACTTACGCTTGGTGATCACCCTATTGAGAACATTCCTCAGTTCATTGGCTGTGATTTCCATTTCCTAACGTGGAACAGAGAAGCAGTTATTAAGGAGAAAGGGAGATAACTGGACAATTATCATCATAAATCGCATTTGACTCATTTAAAAATACATTTTTACGTTAACAATTTGACTAAATAATCATTTAGAGGTCAGTTTTTGCGCCCTGTGTCCTTTTGTACTCACATCACCGGCTATCTCCTGAAAAATAGTTCGAAACTGGTGGTCCTCCTCGCTCTCTTCCCCCGCTGAGGCTGGAGCCGGCTACCAGGTAAAGGAAACCCAGAAGAGCAATTAAAAAAAAAAAACGAAGGAAAAAAAGTGGATTGTGACATTTTTTTAGAGGGTTTTTAAATCTATACTAGCCAAAATAATCCAAAAGGTATTAACTTTTAAATCTGGGCAAAACAAGAGATGAGACAGAAGATCCTTGATGCCTTGAGCTACTGTAAATCAAACTTACCACAGGATGGTCGGCCTCGATCCTATTCTCTATCTCCCTGAGGGAAAATGGACAAACAGACTTCATCAACCTGTCCTCCTAGAACTTCAGCCATGTTTAAGTTTTTCATGAGATATTTTCTGTGTGTGTTAGAGCAACTAATACTATGAGATGGATCTAAACTTGCTCTGTCACTGAAACAAGTAAAAAGATAGAGGATATTTAAAAAGTATATGAATGACATTATATTTATCACTTTTCCCCTGAGTGTCTTTGGTAATATACTCTAAAACACCACAATAAGCTAGTTCTCAGCCTAATCTCATAACCTACTGCTATATCAGTGTCATCTACAATAAGTACCTGTTTACATATGCCCATCATGGTTGTAGGGCCTTAATGATTATACAAGGTAGAATGATTACACTACATCACAGTGGTTTTTAAAAACTAGAAGTGGGCCCAGGTTTGAATTTGTTATTCATTGTAAGCTACCAGTTTGTGAGGTGAGGTTTCTCTAATGGCTGATGGACACTAAACCCTAACTTCAGGGTGGATGCTTATATATTTGAGCCAGACTGTGTAATTCTGACTTTCTGTGGATCAAAGAAAAGCCACAATTAGGTCAAACTTTCTCACCCAGCTCCTGTTTTTAGAAACCATTGACATTTAATGTTATATATTTCATCCACCCTGAAAGAAGAACAGCTGTAATGTATCATTAAATACTTCAGATGCATTGACAATGATGGGTGTATGTAAACGTTTGACCAGAACTGTATTACTTTAGGGAACTGGGTGTCTATGAAATAAATGTGATTCTCCACACATCTATCCAAACACCACATTCTGGTCCATTAGAATGCTCCGCTGGCTGTGTCATCCTCCTGGTTGCAGGGTTCCAAGTCCTTAGAAAGTTCTTAGAAAGTTTACCGGATCACTCCCAAATCAGAAGTTGCTTGTCCTAAAAAAGATTCCATAACAGCTTCGAACTGCGGCCGATTTCTTCCAGTTCTACAAATCAAACTGCCGTTAAAATCGTTCGCTCTTGGTGTTCTTTGTCCCACCCAACATTTTGGTTCAAGCCCAGCAACACAAAGTAGCAGCATAGAATAAAAACTGCTATCTGCAGGGTAACTTACAGAAAGCAGGACTGGGTATTGTCAGATATGTATCTGATATCAGTTGTTTCAATACCTTTGGTGTACTCAATGATTATTAAGATTAAAAATAAGTAAAAAAATTTCGTTTCTTTTGTTGAAGTGCATAATAATTCACTGTTGAGATATGTTAAATGTTGAGCTTTTTTAATATAGTCCTGTTGTATTTTCACCAAAAACCATGCATATATTTTAGGAAGACGGTTTAAAAATGTAGTTCGGACTCATTTTTTCCTCCAGCAACACCCAGCCCTACTCCAAAACATAAAATATATTACAAAATATCATAAAGTATACAACACAACTAACTTTATAGCTATGATGATCTGAGGAAAAAGCATTTACCCATTTACAGACCTGTTCAACCCCATCCCATCGCCCACACCCACTCACTCTGAGGTGTTCTTCTTTTCAGAGAAGACTCGCAGAATGAACTCTCCCTCCTGATGTGGCTCGTACGTGGAAGGAACGATGACGTACTCGCCAGGGCTCAGGCGAAAGCGCTGTGTCACCTCCCGGAGGTTGATGTAGGACTTGGAGCGGGCCTTGGAGGAGTTAAACAAGAAGAAATCCTTCTGCATGTGCTGCTTGTTTCCATGCATCTGCAGAAGAGAGCAGCAACAATGCAAAAGGTAAAGATGAAACCACAGACAAGGAACTAAGGTAAAAATATACAATAACCCCCCTGATAATGAAAGCAAATGGAGGAAAAAACTGTTTCTTTAATCCTGATTTTTTTCTTGACATCTTCCTCACCTCCTTCGGCACCTGTGGAGAGATACAAGCATCATCACTTTTTAACCCAAAGAAATCCTTTAGTTGCTACATACAGCACCAAAAACAGTTATTTTAAAAAGTCTTCACAGACTTCATACTAACGTAGATTTATGATTTTAATTCAAACAGTCTTTAAGGTTTTGCATCAACACTTAGATGAGCTACAAACCAGTACTTCCTTCTTATGATCAACTGTTTTCTTTTGTTTAATTGTTAGAGTATATATGCATTGTTTACAGTGTATGTTGTAAATCATACCGACCATGGGTACTTCTAGACTGGGGCCACTAGGGACCAGTGTCCCAGCTTAACTGGACCCCTGATATAGTTCCTGTATTGAAGTCATAATATAAAATAAATGATGATATAGGCCTAAACAGAAACCGTAACTGGTAGGCCCTTTGAACCAGTTGCATTTCTTTATTTTTATTTTTACAGGTCATAATTTAAAAATATAATTGTTGCACTTTTAGCTTCAGTCATTAAGGACTTTTTTTAATGATACTGTAGCCCTCTTCTGCTCATTCCTGTAGCTCTGGCGCTCATGTTTGGCAAGGTTTTTTAGTTTATGTTTTTCACCTTACACAGAGTTGTAAGCTGTATGAGCTGAGCTGGATGCCTGTTAATTATGTGTATTCACAAATACCCACCAAGGCGCCCCTGGTAATTTTGGTCTAGAACCATTGTTTTCAAAAAATGACACTGTTCATTTCCCAGGGCAATCATATTGGCAGTTTTTCTAATATATAAAAGGGCTTAAGGAATCCTCCACCAGTTGCTTGTTTATTGTGTGCCTGAAAGATCGAAGGAGGTATGCTATTTGGTGCAATTGCCCCTAATAGGGTCTTTAATGGCAGACTGGTCATAGGTGACATGCCAGACAAAGATTGAACTAAGAGACTAATATGGAAAGAAATAATCAAGCTGTCTGATGTTCCTTGTCTGGATGTGGGTTGCAAAAGGGCTCAACCCGAGACCTTAACCTGGAAAAAAGTCTTGTAGGCGAGTTCCCTCTGCCAATGGGGCTTTGGCACTTTCAGTTTGCCTTCTCATGGGGTACAACCTCCAAGAGGGGCTATATGGATCGGGGACAGAAAGCCATATGCAACAGCTGAAGGTGAGGGCCTTGGCCCTCTGTCTTTGGCTGGCTTTTGGGACATGGAATTTCACTTCAATGGAAGGGACTACCTCAGTGTACAAATATGACTGTTAGGTTCATTGGAATCTCTAACCTGTCCTTAGGAGATGGTGTGCATTCATCATTGTATGTCTCTCTATTTCCCAGTAATAGACTGCTAATCTGACTAGGGTGTACCCTGCCCTTTGAAATAGACTGCTGGAGATAGGCATCAGCCCCACTGTGGCTTGGACGGATTAATTAGGAGAAGATGGATAATTAGATGGTTGATATAAAAAAAAAACTTTATAACATTGGTGTAAAACTCTGTGTTAAAGAGACTGTCTCTAGCAGGGTAGTCTGTATACTGGTGTGCGATTATGAAACAGACTGGGTAATTATGGTCAACGTCACTAGAACAGTGCTTTATAAATTCTATTTGCCTTTTGGTATTAGACAATATAGAAATGGAGATTAAATAGATGAAACGTATATTTATCAACAAATAATATTGGTTGTTCTTGCAAGTAGCACTTATAACCCCTAAAAGATTACAGATGTAATTATGATACAAGGGCAGTTTACTTGTAATTAGCCATAACAAGAGCAAACAGAGGGAACTGGTGAAAAAGAAATAGGCCTACTGGAAATTTGATAATTATGCTGTATTTTTATCCAATAACTTTGGGTTAAAAAATCTAAAGATCAGGGACGTCTATTTTGCTTCTTTCACACTTTTTTCAGTCTAAAGCTTCTGGGAAAGGGTTTGTTCACTAAATTGTCTAATTAAACAGTAAAGACCTCATAAATGGCAAATCCAATGGTAAACAAGTTGGCCCCCATTTTCCGCTCTCTTCGTTTGTTCTTCTGCATCAGGGCCACCACAAAGGTACAGACGTCCTCATTGTCATCGGGATCGTCGTCCTCCTCCAGCAGGCGAACTCGGTACTGAGGGTTGGTCCAGAAAGTGTCTGTAGGACACATGCAGAATGAATATTTCCAATATTCTCTCATTCATACAAAACATTAATTATTGTTGATCCTCTGATGATGGTGCATTTTCTTTTGTAGATGCAGTCTCTTAATCATTTTTTTCATGAACATAGATATAGGCATATATAACTCTTTATATCTATTAGACAGAAGTCATTTCAGCACCTGGATAGTTCCTGCAGCCTCCAGCAGAGCAGCCTCTCACCCAGCGGCCCTCGTTCACAGAAACTGTCCACTTGTGGATTTTATCGTCCTCAAGGGCATCAGGTGTTAGGTTACAGATCTCAATTTTAGTGTAGTTCTTCTTGAAATCTTCAAATGACATCCTGAAGGACAGCAGAAAGTACATGAAAGGCAACGTTTGTACAAAGTTGCCTACTTCCTTTTTGTGTAAACTAAAAAATATGGCCCTTGTAGTTAAATAAAAAAAAAAAAAATCACATTTAATGTGAATGATATCAGAATTAATTTGATGAACCATCCACGTAAACACAAAACCTGTTCAAGAACTTGGTTTTATAATATTTAGAAAAGCATGAACTACTTTGGGTGAAGCACTATTTGATTCAGCAGTTGCTGCTCTTGAGTTGGCGTTAGTTATTGGTTATATATTAAATCCAATTAACCTAAAAATAAAATTCAGTTGTTCTAGTAATACTTTATATTTCTCGTAAACCCTGTTGGCAATTATTGGCAAGTCAACACGCAGAGGTGATGAAGACTGAATATTAAAATTAAATTGATTATTCGTTTAGTCAGGTCATCTTTTATAGTCCTGCCCTTAAGTATTTTGAATTGTACAGGATATATTTTTGTTACATGAAAGAACCATAAAACAGGTTCAAATCAGTTTGTCCTTAAACCTTTGGATCCGATCCAGGAGCCTTTGTCACTTGTGGCAGCTCACACTAAAGCGTTAAGAAAAACTGAGGAAGTTACCTAAAATTTAAGGCTGTTTTATAGTAGCCACGACACGGGTGACTGAAAATTTGCACAGACATGTTGAATGGAAAGCATTGAGTTTAACCAGGGCCAACTTATCAAAACTTCACAATTTCAGTCACATGTTTAATAATGCAGAACTTACCAGAACTCTCCATCCTCTGCGCTTTGGTGCTGCAGTTTCTCTTTTTCATCCTTAGAGAGTGTGGCCCATTCTTTGGAGCTGTTGAAAGGTAATTAAAGTAAAATGATGGAAGTTCCTAAATAATCAATAAATACTTGACTAGCAAAATAAAAAGAAATGAAAGAATGTGCTAAACAAAATCCTCACTTGTCACTCCAGGGTCCGTTCCACTCCACCTGACCCCATGGGTTCCTGAGGCGCACAAGGCGAACTTTATGGTCCTTATGCTGAGAGGGTCTACACTGTAGTAACACACAGAAATTACTTGTTTAAACTCTCATGTACTGTAACATCAGCATCTTTAAGTTGAGCTGCCAACTTTACCTCCTCCACAGCTGTCACCGAGTAGGCGTGGCCCTTCACAAGTCCAGTCACGGTGCGAGTTTCAAAGCGAGCAGGAACCAGGGACTAAAGCCAAACATTGAAGAATAAAAAAATGAAAAGATGAACAGAAAATGATAGACATCTTTCTTAGCTTATTCAATCTATAGGAAAATCCTTACTTAGAGTCACCCATTTGGCATAGAGAGAACTAATAACTCACATCAATAGAGCAGCCCATGAGCGAACCTCTCTCCAAGGCTTTTTTCATGATCTTATAGAGTTCTTTGGGAGCTTCCTTCATCTCGTAAAACTCAGTGACGCCACCAGTGAAATCCTCCATAGCTTCTGTGGTGTTCCCACCTTTCAGAGCCTCGTAAGAGCCATGAAGCCTGGGAAAAGAAAAGGAGAGAGACATTTTTTACATCACTTAAAAATAATTTCAATTTAATTGCACTTAAAAAGGAAAAAACACATGAATCAAAACAATGACCACTCCTTCAGTCAGAATATAAGTCTAATTATGCCTTTGAACAACCAAACATAAGGAAAATGTTGCAATAAATCTGTATCGCCTAACAAAGGAAAGCTTAACCCACAGAATGTTAACAAATATGTATTTAATCATGATTATTAATGTAAGCTTGCAATAATATACCATATACATATGGAAAATCTGGTGATTTAAAACCAGATTTTGAGGCTATTCTGTTGAATTATTTAAGAAAGATCGAATCCACCTTGGCGAACAGCCCCCTGAAATGCCTTTTTTTACCTTTTGCATCAACCCTACTTGTGAATCAGGCTTTTTAATTTTAAATATCCCCAAAACAAAACATTTATACATCTATAAGTGGTTCATGAATAGCATTTGACAGTAAAAGACATTAAATGCAGCCCTCCTATTACACATACCTTTGTGTTCTCTTATTACAGTTGTTAATTAGCGGTAATTTATACAACAGTATAGAAAGTAGAATGACAATTCCTAACATGTTTTGTAGCATTTTCTGTTAGTTTGCACCTAAATCATCCAAACAAAAAAACTCAACAAAAACAGTTATTTCTCTCCTTTGTACGTTATAAATGTGCAGAGGGCTCTCAAACTCATTTATTTTTGTCGAAAATGTCTTAATGGTTTGAAATTGGATCCCAAAATAGCTTTATTGGGAATATCCTCCTATGTCTTTCACCTCAGCTCCCCTAAACGCCTGATTATAGAAAAAAAGAACATATTCACAGTTTGTAGGTTTAATATGATTCCACAGTTCAAAATATGGTTGTATGAAATGTCAAACATTTTGCATATAATATTTGCTACCATTTTCAGGACAAAGTTAACAAATTTAATGGCAACCTTTTCTGGATGATTTAGGAAAACAGAGAACGATCTGCTCTATAGCTGCTATTAGAGATGCCATCATATTTCTTTATCCAGCAAAATATAACATGCAACATTGTAACATTATAAGGTCCTTTTCTATGTATTTATTTATTTTATTATTATCTGTTTGTTGTTCTCATCCGTCTTATCTTTGTATTAAACATATAAAAGGTACAGTGAAGGAGTTTCAAGATTTTTCCAAGAGACTCACCCTCTGCACTTAAAAAAAAAGAAGCACATGCACAACCCTGTACCCGCTCCAGAGAGGGAACGCATATTAAATGCATGTGAGAGCATGCACAAGCCCATTACTCCATGTGCACACTGTTCACAAGTTGCTGTTTGCATCGCTCATACAACTTTTCTTTCCAAAAGAAGATTTGTAATTATTCCACTATGTCAGACTCTCAACCCGTAAGTAAAATGGGGACGAGCACCTAGTGAATATATAACCAGAATGATTGACAGTTAGCAGGACCACCCAGAAAAAGAACATCCTCCACTATACTTTTAATAAATACATTATACATTATTTTTCTATATTTACTTATCCACCTACACACACGAAAACCCTACACACAAATAATATAAATGGTTGAAGATCATAGAAACACTAGTTATTATACTATTACATCAAAGTGGCAGCTTAGTTAAATGCCTAATGGAGTCTGGATTTGATAAAGTCAGCCAGGCTATTAGGTAACCATTTACAGATGTCCTCTTTGACAAAAAAAAAATACAACTGCCAGATTTTGATATCAAGCTTTGCCTTTTGATACTAGTATTGTATCCTTCCTTTCAAAAAGATCTTGTAGTGTTTTTTTTAAACAAACATTCAAAATGTCTTTTTGTGAAATTTTGCCTTAAAAGTTCAGCAGTATATGCAACCTTTGCAGTAAGGTCCACCAACAACTTCACTGTAAGTGGCTGGACACGATGAACAAGATGTTGATCTTGTTTATTTGAGGCTTTCTAGCTGCCTTCTGTAGGTTGAAAGAAACAGTCCCAACAATCCTGTCTCTAAGCACTAAACGATTGATGAATCAACCAAATGACTGATATACTAGGCAACATCTTTTTTTCCCCCAGCTTTTATTGTCATTACCCTATCACAAATACAAAGGAATTAACTCTCAGCATTTGAACCATCCCCCCTGGGGAAGCAGGGGGGCTGCCATTATGTGGCACCCAGGGAACAGTGTGGGGTTAAGGGTCTTGCTCAGGGACCCAGAGTGGCAGTATGTGGGAGTGGGGCTTAAACTCAGAACCTCTGATTTCTAATGCCCATCTTAATATGTCCCCAGAGATCCAATCAGAAGTTTTTCAAGGAAGTGAGAAATTACTAATTAATTTCAAAGGATGTCTATAGAGATGATTGTTTGCGTCCCATGAACTAAAAAGGTAATGGTTAACATCCTAAATATGTAGCAAAAGGAACGCACATATAAACAAACAGATTATGTACCAACAGCTGCAGATCTTACAATGATCAAAATGTTAAACACATTACAGAAATGCACCCAAGAGAACAGCTGTGGAAAATGCCTCAACACTGCTCTTTCCTGCATACTAGTGTATGATGACTCACTTGGCGTAGGCTTTCTCCAGCAGGGCACTCCAAAACTCATTTCTCTCAGCAGACTTAGTGAAGACCAGCTGGTTATTGAATGTTGGGACACGGTCGTCAATGACGACGTCGACCCAGTCACCATAACGCCAGAACTGAAACACAGAGAACCTGATTATTAAAAAAAGGACAAGATCATCTTTCTTTGAGGTCTAAATTCCTCTGGCAATTGAAAAAAATAGTTCTTTCAATAATGGTCATGCCCATTTAATTATTAGAATTAGTATTAATAGTGCCTTGCAAAAGTATTTTATTGTCAATAAAAATATTGTATCATACATTCTATTGCCTAAGGCTGATGCTAAGAAACTAGTCCAATGTAGGCTACTAGTTGTAATTCTTTACTATCAAGAAGTCCACAAACTCTAGTTAGAATACTTAAGCTGATCCAAAATGCTGCAGCCAGAGCTCTGATGAAAGTCATTTAAGCTTCCCTTCATTGGCATCCTGTTAAATCCAGAATAGAATTAAAATCCTTCTTCTCATGTATATAAAGCCCTAAATAACCAAGCTCCGTGTTATTTTTAGAAAACTGATCATTCGTTATGTTCCTAAAAGGGCACTTTGCTCTTAATCTGCAAGTTTACTAGTGGTTCCTAGAATTTTTAAAAGTAAAGTGGGAGGCAGAACTTTCAGTCATCAAAATCCTCTCCTGTTGAACCAACTACCAGTTTTAGTCAGTGAGCCAGACACCCTGTCGACTTTTAAGGCTAGGCTTTAAAATTTCCTTTTTGGCTAAGGTTTTCCTGAGCTATCTCTAAAGTTATGCTGCTATAGGCTTAGACTGCTGGAGGACATAGGGAGCTTTTCTTATTTTGCTTTATTCTCAAATGTTGCTGTGTTTGTCTACTGTATGGGCTCTCTTTCAACCCTTTGGAATTAAAACTGGCTCAAAGCTTCTATGTTTAACTGTTCCTTTCCTTGACCAAGGCAAGAGAAACCTATGGTAATAGTAAAGCCTTACCTTTTCTAACATAGAAAGTATTTATAGATTAGTGCTTCAATGTTCCTGTTGTATGTCTGCTTCTATCTAGAAGGACTAGAAGGGCATGGCCACTGAGCCTGGTTCAACTGGAGGTTTCTTCTTTATAAAAAGGAAGTTGCCTGCATGACAAGTGGGAGGGAATGGTGTACAGTAGACATTGCAAGCAAATGTCTACTGTTGCTACGTGCTCATCCATGAGAAGAGAATCCTGCAAAGTCAATGACTGCATGCAAGCTGTTTCTTAGATAAAAAACTTTGAACCAATCTGACTGTATGGCCGGTTGAATTGTCTCTGTAAAGTGCCTTGAAATTAAATGCGTTGTGAATTGGTGCTATAAAAATAAACTGACTTGAACTGAGTACTGGAGATTGCATGTGACAGACGGTCAAATTGGAAAACAATTGTGGAGTCAACCCTTTCTAAAAGCATATTTTGCTGTAACTACAGACAAAATAAGGCTTTTAAATTATTTATCTCAATAAATAAGCTAAAAGTGAGTCAAATTAGTTTGGGAATTTTATTTAAGCAACCTATATTTTAGCCAATATTCCATGAATACCAGATGAATGGCCAGCCTTCTATAACAAAAAATCTGAGGGTTTAGCAAAACTGTTGAGTTTATATACAGTATTTATATTTTTTTCCAGACACTGATGAAATATTGTCCACTTAATAAAGATTTAATCCCTTTTTACATGTTTAATATACAGATATCATGAGCAAATGTCCATAAACAATGTTTTGAAAACCTGATGAGTCTTAAGTGAACGAGTAGAGCTAGAATAGCAGATATGGAAATGACATGGGATCTCACCTGGAAATGGAAGATGCCAGCATAGTTCTCAGAGAAGCTTTGCTCCCGAGGAATTACTCTGTAGAGGAGTTTCTCATTCAAGGTGAGACAAGCAATAGCAGCTAACAACCAGCAATCACCTAAACAGAGAAGACAGCAATAAATTATTTCAAGATTTTTTTTCTTCCCTTTTAAAGGGGTATTCTGCCCATGAATATATTTAGCCCAGAGTGAACCCTACTCGTTGGGCTTACAATAAATGACACATTTCCTCCTGAAGTTGGGAAAGCCAGCTGCTGCTCACTATTTTTTGTAACTCTCCAGATGTGTAAAAGGGCGTTGCACGAGGATAATGTGTACATTTTTGTTGTTTTTTTTCTTTTAAAGGGTATAGTTAACAGTGTCTGCCAGGACTTTTGTTCTCTCTGGTCCCCCTTTATTTGCAGCATGAACAAAATTACAATGGAAAGTGCTTCCAGTAGGATTCCCTTCCAAAAGAGTAAGCACAAAACAGGGAGACTGCTGCTGGCAGAGAGGCCGTATTGAGGGGATTCATGCCATGGAAAATAATCAGCTATTTTAAAATTTTCTTTTAAGAGAATAAAGATGAACCACTGCAATAACAATTGCTGCTTATTTTATTTTATTTTATTTGGTTTCAGCCAAGTTTGCCACAATCAGTAACCATGAAAAAACCTTCGTGCTTTAAGCAGGGATTAATTACTCGGAAAGGAAAAGTTTTTCTTCTTCAGAGAAAAGCAATGATTAGTATCTTTTTTATTGTCCTTCAGCCAGGCTAAATGGTCCTTTACGGGAAACATATCATAAAAAAAAAAAAAAAATGCTTTTTAAAAGATACGTTTTTGGACTGGGGCTTTTTTTGTTTTTGTTTTGTTTATTAGAGTATTTTGTAAAGGTGCAATGGAAACGCCTTTTTTCCGCCTTGCAAGAGATACAGGATCAAAAATCATATATTATTACTGACAAAAAAGAAAGAAAACAAATAATTTATGGTGCAGCTGGTTTGTTTTTTTACGTGTTATTGTATGAACAACTTATCCCCATATGATTTTAGTTGCATTTTCTCATTTAATAGAAAGACATCAAATTGCTAAATTTAGCTTTTTAAACTTTAGCAGGATATTCTTAAAGTTTGGCAGACAATCATTTAATAAAATGCTACAACGTGATTGGATTTTAGTGATACTTTATTAACAAAAAAAATTTATACCGATCACAGTTTTAACTGCTTTTAGCATCTTTTATTCAACCATTAGCATAGCATAAATAAAACAAATTTTCTTTTTTGGTACCTTAGAGAATGTAAAAGTTATCTTTGATTTTTCACTTACATGTAAATCTAGCTTTAAAGAATGAAAATACATAATCTTTGCTGTACAACCTCGAGCCTCAAAATGATCTGCAATAGGTGTTGCTGAATGAAATGCAAACATGTCTCCTCATATATAAACAATTTATTCTTAATTACTTTTAAAATTTTTAATGTTTTCCTCTGATATGTAAGCATAGTAAAGTTTGAGTTATTTTCACAGCAAAAAATTCCACACCAGAGTGTGTAGTCAAATAATATATATGTTAAGTTAATAATAAGTAAAGTTTATTACTGTTTGAAAAAAAGATTGCATTTTTGCTTTAAATCAGCCAGCCAATATAATCATTGGATTCACTGTGTTTCTTTGCATATTTACATTTTAAGTCTCCAAGGCATTTAAAAAAGAGAATATTCTAAGAATGAGAGGTGATGCTGTAATGCTTAAAGTTTGAAGGGAAAACGTTTACCTAGCTCTCCCTGACAGATGTCTGTCCTACTCGCTCCTCCGACAATGAACTGAGGGTTTTCACATATTTCCTGTAGAAAAAAAACAAAAAGAAGTTAACTTTCACTGAAAAAAGAGACTACAAAGATAAATTATACTACCATTACTGTATATTTAAAAAATCAAAAACAAAAAGGTATAAAAGGTATAAATCTATCTTAATCTGTTTCTTCTGAGGTTGGACAAATTTTTAAATTATTTTCCATGTTTGCTGTCGTGTATAAAAAGTAAAATGCAGTTTTACCTCCATCCTCACCCATCCCCTCTAACTTTATACTTTGTGAGTCTGTATTTCCACCTGCCAACAGACCTACCTTGGGCCTTTTCCAGACGATGTTCTTGACTTTGTTAGACTTGTGCCCAAGCTCTTTGAAGCCCAGAGACTCCACTGTGGCGGGGAAAGCATCATCCTCAAACAGAGATTTCCTCTGAAGGTACTCCTGCCTCAGCGTGTTGTAGTCCTGGCCGTTAAAGCGGATGGGCTTGTTCAAGGACCCTTCCCCGTCCCTCCTTTCTCGTTCCCGGATCAACCGGTCACAGAAAAAGCCAGATGGCGTGTATGGCATCTCCACTCAGCAGACCTTTATTTTTTGTGGGGGGGCGGAAACTGACCTTGACCACCTGTAGGAAAGTCTTACCAGCCAAAAGACCCTGGCATAAATCCAAACAGCTAATATCTGATTGGTTCTTTCTTTCTGTGACGTCCCCTCTTCCCTTTCGTCACAGAACAGATTCAAACGCTCTGTGGAAGAAACATTCTCCTTTGGGTTGCCATTCATGTCGACAAACAAACACAGAAACCAGCAAATCACATGAAAGTCTGCTTGTTGCATTCCTATTGGCCGACCCAAACAATGACCGTCCCCTGCCCGTGCTCTGGTGCCATCATTGTTGGTTGACACAAAGGCCAGGGGGCATGTTAAGAGTGGTTGGTAGATGCCCTGCCTCAGCAGAAGGCATTCAAAACCTTTAAACCTCTTCTCAATGGAGCTCAGCGTCGAGCAGTCTCAGCACAACCAGAGCTAATGCTATGAACGGGGGAGTAACACATGTTTTACTCTCTTTACAGTTTTGTCATTATAGCTGATGAGATACTGCATGCTTAAATTTAGTCAGAGAAATGCAGGCAAAAAATGAATCAAGTCGTCATGCTAAATCAGAGAGTTGGTTTTATTTTATATTTCACAACAGAAGGAAGTGACATGAAGGCAGCTTTGAAATTTATATCAGACATGTTTTGACTGAAGATCCGTTTTACTCTGAAATCAAGGAGTCATTTATGAAAAAGCACTGATAAAGCTCAAAATTTTTTTTGTCAAATTTTCTCATTATATGGTGTGAACCGCCCTGATGAAACTTTGATTCTCCTTGAACTGGCTCCAAGTTTGTCATCCTGTATCAAAACCAAATATATCAATGTGGGGGGCTAGTAAGACAGACCAAGGCAACAAGAGCTGTAAACCATAGATGAAGATGATACAAGGTTTAAAAGATGGCACAAATCAAATCTGACAGGTGTGGAAGGCTTTTGAATTCAGTTTGTCCATCCAGTAAAAACCCTCCCAAATGAAGTCAGATATCTGCCAAAAATGAACACTATACCGACAGTTTTATTTAAAACACAAGCAGGTAAACTACTCTCCATGTGGATTTGAAACATTTAATGCATGCAGATACAATACCATGAGGCCACCAGTATATCACAAACATGAGTTCATGCTCCCTCTTTGCTCTCGCCTGCTTTTTATTCGCCTATACAGTAGATTCCCTTCTCCCAGGGTGTCGACCTATTTCAGTCGCTCATGTCAACTCTTGTCAATTTAAGGATGGAGGAACCAACAGAGAAATTAAACTACCTGTGATTGGCTTTTTTCCAGGAAATCTCGCTTTTACTGTTTTTACAGTTGTGGCTAGTAATGTTAGCAAAGCAACTTCAGGTTTCTAAACATAATGATGGAAACAACAGAAAAAATCCTTAAGGTAGCTGCAAACTAACTAGAAATGTAAATGCTGCTGTGAAGAGTATAAACAAAAGGTAATTCAAGCTTCCCTTTACTCAATATAAACTTATACATAATTAAGCTTATACATAATTCCTAATTTAACATTTAGAGCATATTGATACTGCTGTCCAAACATATTTAGGACTGTTTTTGGATTTAAAGATGACTTCAATAAACCAATTTGCTCTTGGAGAGAAATGGGATTAGCCTGGCGATGCTTTGCAAACGTGATTAGCCCCAACCAGAAAAAGACAGAACCGTTTTAAGAGGCGGAATTTTCTAAAGAGTAGCCAATCACAGGTAGTTTCTCCGGTTTGCTCCACCCTCTAAATGACAAAAGTTGACAGGAGAGAATCCACAGTTATAAAAAGCAAGAGGAGAATGAACTCATGGTTGCGATGTATTAGATGACATTCAAAATGCACATGGAGAGTAGTTAACGTGTGTTTTTTGAAATAAACTACCTGCATAACTATCTATAATGCGGGCCCCTTTTCGGCAGAAATCTGACTTCATACTCCCACATACTTTAGGATAAGGTCAGTGAAAACCACCATCATTTTGAAAATCTATTTGTCTCTCATAATACCCCAATACATTTTATTCATCTATTAAAATTGTAACTGAAAACATTGCAACAAAAAATTAAGAGACATGAATACTTTTGCAAGAAACTGCAGAATTAGCTGCTGATCTTCATATAAAAAACAAAAGTTAAAATAATTACAGCAATGAAATATTGCCCGACTTTAATGGGTTTCTGTCTTTCAAATATCGCCCCTTTTAAATTATCAAATTAGCCACCATTTTTGTACTGATTTTGTCATTACAGGAATACGAAATCAAGACCAAAGGAAAACCAGTCATGGATTTTTCAATGATTAACTGATGTGGATCTCCCAGTCCACCCCCACTCTGAGGTTCAGGTTGCTGAGCCGCAGCATGCAGCCGGCCTCCAGGAACTCAAAGGAAGCAGAGATGGCTTCAGCGCCTGGTGAGAAAACCAAAATGGGTTCAGTTTTGGACTGAGAAACAACTATGGAAGTTACAAAATTTACAATTTGTTTTATTAATGGTAGGAATGTCAGAGCCGCTGCAGCGTAATTAGGCTACTGATGATACTTTAATAGTTATGGCAAAATGGCAATGCACACTGCACCTGACTCTGTTGGGGGATTCTTACTCTTAAAAGAGAATTTTCATCTTTTCTTTTAACTACATCAATCAGTCTCAATAGCTGTTTCTCCACCCAAAATATCATGTGAATTTTCAGTACACTTTGGAATATTGTTAAAAAAAACCGAGCTAGATAGATTGCAAGCATACCGCTACCTACTTCTCAAGTGTGTGTAGCTCTGCATGTTCCACCTACTGTACTCTGTTTTCCTAATCTAGTACTATTTAAAATATTTAATTTCCTCCCTATCCCTATCTATTCCAAATGTTCCTTTTAAACTCTTTGTTTCCCTAATAACATCCCTCATCCTCTTTCTTTTAGCTGCAAGATTGTATCATTTTTCAAAGCATTATCCTCATTTTCTCTTTCATCAAAACTTTCAAATATGTTATTATTACTTTTCTCTAGTATAAATAAAAACCTAATTTAATTAGGTTTGATCTACTTATCTTAGCAAAATAACATCTGCTTCTTTCTCCATATTTTTATTATTATTACATATTCTTGAAGTGTATAGTTTTCCTCCTGGTGAAAACAGCTTATCAGTCATGTAAGGGAAAATACTGTCTGACTGTTTGCCACCCTAGTAGCAAACAGTCAGACAGTATGTTAGAGTGACCTAACCTGTCTATTAATGCTAGTTTTATCTCTGTACTTTGGAAATAATGTGTTTCACATATTTCATTCACATTGTTTATTCAGTAACCTAATAGGTTTGTGTTTTCTTATATCCTTTAAATGTCTAAGAAAAATGTGTAAGAAAAAGATTTTTGTTCATATAGTCAGTATTTAATACAGCTGGCACAATAAATTATTAAAATATATATGTTTTTAATTCAGCAAAATAGATATTCATGTTAATGGAAAGATCCTTTTGATACAAGAGATTTTTTTTTAGATAGCCACTTTTCAAGTAATCATTAGTCGATCAATAAAAATAAACTTTATTTTAAATCCTAAATCAATATCTTACATCTCAGTTTGCTACATCAGAGCTTATTTGACATACCGGTATGTGTTTGTTCCCTTTTTCGGAAAAAATCAACACTTCAAGCGTGAGTAAAAAAAAATTTATGCAACATTTAAATGATTCATATGTTTCTGTTTTCATCAAGCTCTTCCCATGCAGTACTTTAAAATAAGCATAGCAAACGTTAATGAAACCACATCTGATTAATGCTGATGCTCACTCACTTAGTCAGCAGAAATACTAAGTTATGTGGTTACAGATTTCTACACAGTTCTTAATTCAGGCTCAGATAATGTGCTTTATAAACTAAACTAACAATCAAATCAACCCTGAATTGAAATTGTTTTATTTTAAAAAAGGTTATTTTTTTAAATACTTTTCTACAAATCCAGACAGTTTTCAGACTTTTAAAGACTATAAAGAAATCCGAATGCCCAGACCGGGTCTCTAAAAAGCTTGTAACACCTGTTTGGCCTTCAGTTTGGGATTGTCTGTCAGCCTTAAATCCAAAAAGACATATTTTGCATGGCTTCCTATGCAAATTATTTAGTTTTTTGTATTTTATAACAAATTCTCCAATAATGATCACAGAGAAGGAGAGGCCTTTTTGTGTTGTCTCTGTTTGTTATTAAATCTGCAAGAACACACATCTGAGGCCAAGCAGAAGAGCTGCTCTTTTTAAAATAATTATATGTTTTACTTTATTGCTCATTTCATTCTGACTTATTAAACAAAAACTTTTTTTTCCGTCAAACTCTCTGATGTCATTTTTTACAAGCTAAAAGACATTGATTGTTGATTGGGGACCTGTCTAAGACATTGCGATTGAAAAAAAAAAATGTTTGCTCTTCCCACCTGACATGTGGACTTTCACTCTGGATGGCTTGTTCTTCAGCCCCATGATGTTAACTGACTGTACAACAGTTTCACAGTCGAATTGTCCTTCTTCACTGGCTGGACTGGAAGATGAAACACAGAACATCAAACCACTCTGCATCAAGTCAGCAGCAGAAGCCTTTCAACCATTTTCATGCTTCTTTAGGTTTCTGCAGACATGTTCTTAAATAGGAATCTGCCCCATAAGGGTGTGGGAGTGACTCACCGACAGAGCAGACGGCCTGACAGCATGCTGAACCTTCGCAGGCAGAAGGCCTTTTGGTCACGGTATTTAAAGGAGTGGCCGTCATCGAGGTACAGTTCCCCATCAGCGCTGCCCTGAACAAGTGATGCAGATACAAAAGTCCCATGTTAAAGATATAGCGCAAAAAAAGGTGGCATAAGTAAATCAATACAACAATCCCAAAATTAATATTTATACATGGAAAAAAAATGTCCTGACATGATGGAATATGGCAAAAATAAACGGATTTGAAGCGAGTTGCCTTTCAAAACATATACAGTACTCCATCTTCCTTCTACTGATCCTCCATTGCTTTCATCCATCCATCTAGACCTTCTCCTGGCTTTCTTTGACCAGCACCCTTCTCTTGTTAACTATAACTATGTCATCCTAAAGCATCATAATCAATAGAGACCCCTGCCTTAACAGTATTAGCAACACATTTTCTTAATTATCACCCCATTTATATACAAAGAGCAACAGTAAAGAGAAAATGCAGGT